AGCCTTGACTTCCTTTCCTTCATGTGAGTTTACTACAACTCGTTAAACGACACAACTCATTGTTCTTCATTACTACATTCTCTAATATGGAGCCCCTGACTTCATTTCACTCTAGCAAGATATAATATGAATTTATTCTAATTTATTATATCTCTGTCGTTTCTACTACACAATGTTAAGCAAAGTTTGGCATTCATATCCAATTGCCTTCCTGCTCTTCTGTTTCTCTTTTTTTCTTCAGAAATTTGCTCTGAGGGCACAGATATGAAACTTCTGACGTCTGGAACAAACTTGACGTACGTGTCTCCTCAAGGTCACGGTTTGCAGCAAGCGCCCTACGAGTATACTCTATAACAACTTGTTATGACCTTGAATCGCTTTTACCCCGTGATACTTGTTATGACTTCACCTTGATCTGTCTAGACTAAACTATGACCTCGACGCGTTAGGCTGAGTGGCTCAACCTTGAGTCTAATACGCGTGAGTTCGAGATGGGGTAGAGAGAACTATTCTAAATCCTGATTGGTTGGCAAGCACGCAAGTGAAAGAAGACAAGACAGTTGGAACACTGAACTCTGGATTCTCTGAATTCGGATTAGTACAAAAATGTACATGAATAAATAAGTGAATATCTTGACCACGACGTACGATAATTTGGAAAAATACAGTTATGCCCGAAACAGGGAATTAGGGTAGAAAATACAGTGCAAAATATTATGTTTAAATTACAATATTTTCGGAACAAAAAAGGGTATGCTAGTGAATGATACATAGAACGAAAGCTCGTGTTATGTAGAATAAGATAGGGACAAAAATAAATATAAGTGTTTGAATGAAATGCAATAACGTCCCAAGAAAATAGCTTTCGTAATTGTCTGGGCTTCTTAATTCCCCGTTCATAACACCTTCCCCTTAAAAAAAAAAAAAAATATGGTTAGTTACTATATACAGGTAAGTGCTGAGATATCATCATTGATATCTTCCTTCGGAAACGTATGTTCTCCTCTTTGGGTCTACCTGTAGAATATCTGGTCTTCTGCGTTTCCGTGATGCTTTCCTAATAGGACTTTGTTCAGGTTGCGCAGTCTTCTGAGTCGCTGAGCATTTTATGTCAAAACTGTCCAGAATGATTCTCCACATTGAGTCTAATTTCTCGGTTTTCTGTGAAGTGCCAGCATTTTCCAGTATGTGGTTGACATGGCGTGTCCACTTCTGTCCTTCAACTTCCACCACATACATTACGTTCCCTTGTCTCTTAAGTATGCGTCCACTGGTCCATTGTGGAGGTGAATATCGGAAATCGCGGACGTATACTTTTTGATTTTTTGGAAAATTCTGCGTTTCGCCCCATGATGGCGATCAAATTGGTTTTCCATCTTTCTGTTTCTTTTTCCGATGTCTATTTGCTGTGGTTTTATGGCATCGAGAGCAGTTCTTACTTTTCTACCAAACATAATTTCTGCTGGGGACATTTGATTTGGTGTTGATGGGTTTGGAGTTGTTCTATAGACCAAGAGAAAGTCATCAAGAATCTCCTCTATCTTTCCCTCCCCTTTTGCCTTCAGTAGCGCTCTTGCGAAGGTATCTACAAACCTTTCCGCCTGACCATTCGATTGTGGATGGTACGGAGGTGAACGGACATGTTTGACTGCAAACGTCTTGCAGAAATCTGAGAAGACGGAAGAAATAAACTGAGTGCTGTTATCTGTCACGAGAACATCTGGAACTCCAAAACGGGAGAATAACTGCCGTAGCTTCATGATAGTCTGTTGCGAAGTGATTTGATTTATAGGAAAAATCTCCGGCCATTTTGAATAAGCATCAACACAAACGAGGAAGTACGTACCCTGGAATGGGCCAGCAAAATCAACATGTATACGCGACCAAGGTTCTTCTGGAGATGGCCAGGAATGTAGTTCAGCTTTTCGTGGACACTTAGAAACCTCAGCACATTTTCTGCACGCACGCACGAAATCTTCGATGTGTTCATCGATATTAGGCCAATATACATAACTTCGAGCAATAGCTTTCATTCTTCCAGTACCTGGATGGGCTGTATGCAGTTGTTTCAGGACGAGTGAGCGTAAGTTATACGGAACCACTACGCGATCAGCAACCATAATACAGTCATTTACGATGGATAAAGATTGGCGTCGTTGATAATACTGTTTCAGTTCATGAGATGTTATACGTGGGGGCCAACCACGCTGGATAAATGTAGATAATCGTCTTAAGATAGGATCGCGGCGAGTGTGTTCAGCGATTTGAGCAGCTGTCACTGGAAGAATTTGTGTTGAATTAAACAACATTCTGCTTACATCTTCTTCCACTGATATAGAAGCGATAACAGTATCTTCGTTTTCAAACTTATGATTGCTTATTAAGCGCGATAATGCATCAGCATGGCCAAAATCAGAGGTAGATTTGTATTTGATAACGAAATCATAACCCAATAGCGTTGTAGCCCATCGTTGGAGGCGGTTTGCGGTATAAACTGGTATACCTTTCTTAGATCCGAAAATTGATAATAGGGGTTTATGATCAGTGATTAAGGTAAATTTTCTGCCATGCAGCATCTTGTGAAACTTTTTTACTGCGAAAATTAATGCCAATCCTTCTTTCTCAATTTGACTGTACTTGCGTTCTGCTGAATTCAATGTTCTGGAAGCATGTGCGTTAGCCTTCTCTTTGCCATCTGGAAACTTATGTGATATGACGACACCGATACCATAGTCAGAAGCATCTGCAGCAACAACGATTTCCAGCGAGGGATCAAAATATGTAAGAAGTAGATCCGACGTTAATAATGACTTTACTTCGTCAAAACATTTTTGACACTTAGTGGACCAATTCCATTTTACATTACTGGATAATAATTGGTTCATGGGTGCCCGGAGGCGATGCAATTGTGGCAAGAAATTACTGTAATAACTGATAAGACCAAGGAAGGAACGCAGAGTTGCTACTTTAGCTAAATGTGTTCTTCCAAGTTGCTAAACATTATATTGCGGATTGTCATAATACGATGAGTCATGGAAGATGATGATGTATTTTTTACGTAAGATCTTTTAGAATAGGTAGTAAGATCATTACAAATCTCTACCTTTCGGATTGAGTTTATTATTACAGCATTACCAGTAACGATATAGACCGTAATTGTACAAACCCTTGTCTATTAACCACTTCTTTTGTTATTTAGCACTTTAGTTTGTGTTAGAAAAACCTTCGACTATAGCACAGTCTGCACCGTTTGAGGTATTTTGTACTTTAGTAAAATTTTTTTTGTTAAATTACAATCGTTTGACTTGAACAGAGTTCGTGTTTTCAGATGGTTTAATACAATTAACTCAAAAATGCTTCGTACTCTGTACAAAATAATGCAAACTTGTTTGACCCAATAAACTTGGGTAAATTAATTCTGACTGACATTTCGGTCGATATAAAGCATACTGCTTTTAACAATAATCTGAAACTTCCTAATCTTCATTTTAACTGTTATTAAGTTGGCTACTGCGACCTCTTAAAAAAAATCACATCAACATAGTCGTTGACTTAGCTTACACATATGTTATGTCTGATTCGACAATTCTCCGAGCCGCCCTCGGCATTTTTGGCCGAACCCGACATAGTTATTTTCCTCAAACCTATTTGGGTTAGTGGATACGGCTGTCATATAACTTGCATAAAAAGACGTTTAACGCAGCTGAGACCATAGGTTGTCATACAAATGCTAAAAATATAAGCTGAGCAGTTCGCTGTTGAACTAAAGGAAATTCTGGAGCCTTTGATAAAGAAGCTAGTTGTCTGGTCTAGAGATTGCGAATGCCTATGCGCTTTCTATGGTAGCATTTCATTGTGCCATTCTCTTGTTGTTTTTCGTATGTGAATATATTTTGTTTAATTTTTGAGTCATTAGCACATACTATAGATATTTTAAGATCCATTTTGAATGCCTTGTGTGTTTGTGAAAATCCCTCCATGTATATACTTGCACTTTGTTCCTATTGATCTTCTTAGTTGTACATTGTTAACTTTTGGACTACATTCGAATTGTTAATCTTTGTATTTTATTATAGTTTTTGTTTTTACCACACCTTCACTAATTCCCCATGTTTCTTCCCGAACTGCACTTATGTTGTTTTACTTTATACTAAGTCTGAGCCGCAGCCATTTTGGTTGGTTCCTGCCTTTGATTGCTTGACCTGTGTTGACTGGAATTGTGCATTTTGGTTGTGAATTGAAGCACTCTTCCAGAATTGAAAACACTCTGTGTTATAGAGCGACCAATTATTACCTTTTGAACGAATCTGTACGTGATCTATCCAGACAGGATAGAATAACATTTATTTGTGGTGATTAAAAAAAAAAAAAAAAAAAAAAAAAAAAAAAAAAAAAAAAAAAGTTTAGATTTGATCAATTAAACAATTATTGGTTGGATAGCTGTGTGGTTATATTTGTTTAGGTAATAATGTATACTTAAATTTATGATAAATTATAGAACCGCTATCTTACCCAATTACCTTGTTTTGGTTTCAAACGGGCGAGGGCGCGTATCCAACTTATCCAGGCAGCTGTCCAGCAGTCCAAACGTGGTTTGGATCCTACAGTTCTAAACAAATATTAATTGGTCAAAGTCGTTTGGAATCGTTTCGTGGATTTTGGTTATCCTTCTTGAAAATATTTGGTCGTTTCCTACAGTTCTAAACAAATATTACTTGGCCGAAATCCTTTGGTAATCGTTCACGGATTTTCTGGAAATAATTGGTCGTGTCGCTTATAATGCCAGTTAATCGTCGTCGGAGATCAGGCTCAAAGTTCGTCGATGTTAACGAAGAATCCCCTATTGTCAAGCAAGTACCTTTTGATGTCCTTAAGGGTCATGGTTCAGACTTAAATAGGGTTAATTATCATGGCAGTGATTCTAGCCTTAATTCGATGTCAATGATGTAAAAAATCTTAGTTTAAAGGAGGAGCAAAGGCCTGAATTACTAGGAAAGAGCATGTCGCCTATAGTTCATGTTGTTGGCCCAGAGCTACCAAAGGTTGAACTGAGTTATTTCGATGGAGAGCCAAGAGGTTATTGGAAATTTATAAGGCAATTTGAGACGTATGTAGCGTCAAGAGTCACGGATGATAGCCAGCGCTTACTCTATTTGATACACTACTGTAAGGGCAAGGCTAAAGCAGCTATTGAAGGTTGCGTCATGATGGAGGCATCCTCTGGCTATAAAAGAGCAAGGGAGATTTTAAAACGTTTTTTCGGACAGCCTCACGTAATTGCTCGAGAAACACTAGAGGACTTATTCAGTGCTGCGAATTTTGAGTATATTGACGGGGACCAACTATCAAATTTGGCTATTAAGATGGAAAACTGTGCCATGGTCTTGGAGCAGATGAATTATACTTCTGATCTAAATTCCTTAGTTACCTTGGAAAGAATAGTGAGACTCTTGCCGCAACCTTTGCAAGCCCAGTGGGCGGACTGGGTGGATAAATTGACTGAAGATAACAGGGAACCGACCTTCGACGAGCTCACTCAGTTTATCGCATCGCGTGCGAGAGTGGCTTGTAGTAGATTTGGACGGTTAGCAAACCGTTCAAGAAAAGGACATAACGTAAAGACGAACTGTCACGTGCAATCAGAGCAAGGGAATAGTTCGACAACGAAAACTAAATGCAGTATGTGTTCCTACGACCATGCTATTGATAAATGTCCACAGTTCTTAGCGCTTACAGTTCAAGACCGATGGTCTCACGCTAAAAGCAAGGGTATTTGTTTGTCTTAGACAAGGACATAAGGTTAATGAATGTAAGATGACAAGGCTCTGTAACGTTGACAGTTGTAAGAAGAGACATCACGTTCTGCTGCACACTGACTCGACAAGCAACGTCGTAAATGATAAGCCATCATGCTCGGAATATAGGAAAAGAGTTGTTAATCATATCAGTAAGGTACAGACACTGGAGAACGAAATACGTAAGCTTTATGATGAGTTTTCAGATGCTTATTCAAGTGATAAATCATTATCAGTAGACGACAAGGGGGCTATAAAGATTGTGGAAGGGGGCACGCACTTCGGCGACGGTCATTTTGTAGTTTCTATACCGTGGAAAAAGAATCCAAATATGAAAGTGGATAATTATGAAGTAGCAAACCGTAGATTACAAAGTTTGAAAGGTATGTTGTCGAAGGACGTCAGCCTGAACATCAGGTACATCAAAAGTATTGAAAGTAATTTTACTAAGACTTATGCGGAGAGGGTCCTTGAAATATATTTGCAGCCTAATTATCGCCCTCGAGGGTATTTACCTCATCATGCAGTGTTAAACATGAAAAAACCAGAGGAACTTAGAGTGGTCCTTGATTGTGCCGCCGAGTTTGCAGGGTTTTCCACAAATGATATGATTTATCAAGAACCCGATACCACTGATGAGTTAATGTGTATATTATTAAGTTTTCGCAAGGAGGCAGTTACAATCCCTGCAGATGTTGAAGAAATGTTCATGCAATTGGTCTCTGAGTCTGATCGAGGAGCTTCAAGATTTCTGTGGTGGCAGGAGGGAGACATGTCGAGGGAACCATCTGAGTTTCAAATGACATCTCATCCATTTAGTGCCATATCATCGCCGTTTCGTGCGAACTTTACCTTGAATAAGACGGCTCAAATATTCTCTGACGGTTATGATGGTTATGTTGTAGATGCTGTCAAGAATAATTTCTATGTTGATGATTGCTTGATATCCATTCCCAATTGTGATCAAGCAAAGAGTTTCGTTAAGCATATAAGTGAATTATTATGTAGAGGAAGTATGCAAAAAATGATCGATCTTGAATATTGGTTCAAATGTCCTACTTTATTGCATGGCGAATTTTATATAACAATCACTGACTGTCCGGAACCTACTCCTGACGATATTGAGTTTAGAAAAATTGCTGTGGTTAACTTGAGTAGTATAAAGCAAAACATGTCACCTATTCTCTCTTATAAATCCGAGTGGTTGAAATTAGTCGGGGCCGTAGCCTGGCTTAGAAGGTTCATAGAATTTCTGATGGTGCTTCGTTCACCGAGTCATGAAGGATCCGTTCATCTAGGATGTTTAAAGGTCAAGGAGCCTGACATCGCCAAGGGTAAGAATTTATTGATGGTTCAAAAGGAAGTGTGTGGAGAATTATTTAGTGAATTTAGAAACAGAAGTAAAGTAGTAAGTCATAATGATCTGAAAGGTTTATCACCGATAATGCTTGATGGGTTACTCTGTGTTACAGGTCGTCTAAGCTACTCAGAATTATTAAATGCTTTTGAACGTCCAGTAATTTTACCCAGTCGACACTTAGTGACGGAAATGATAATTAAACATTGTCATAAAGTACCAGGACATATAGAAAGGTCATTAGAAAAAGGATATAGATATGGGTTTACTTGTTTGCAAACATGGGCAATACATATTGAACTGATGTATAGTTTGATTACTGGTTCATTTATAATGGCCTTATTACGTTTTATTGGAAGAAGAAGGAAACCTCCGGAGATTTACAGTGATAGTGCGTCAAGCTTCATGGGAGCAGATTCTGAATTAAGGAGGTTTGTGCAACAGTCGAATCAGCAGAAGATAAATATTGAATTGTCAGCGAGGTCCTCATCCAACAGCATGGGTGTAATTTGGGGAAGAGTGATTAGGTCTATACCAAGACTGTTATTGTTGATCACGAGAGAACAGGTGAAGCAGGTCTCCTTGAAGCTTTGGATTAGTCTTTGTTGTTATTGATGTAGTTAGGTCGAGTAGGCGTACTGTTGTAAGTCCTACTCGTTCCTATGGTGTGATATGTTATATAATGAACCATGACCGTAGGCATCAAGGTAGCTTGTGTGATATGGAGGGATTTTGGGGGCCGGTGTAAGATCCATTTTGAATGCCTTGTGTGTTTGTGAAAATCCCTCCATGTATATACTTGCACTTTGTTCCTATTGATCTTCTTAGTTGTACATTGTTAACTTTTGGACTACATTTGAATTGTTAATCTTTGTATTTTATTATAGTTTTTGTTTTTACCACACCTTCACTAATTCCCCATGTTTCTTCCCGAACTGCACTTATGTTGTTTTACTTTATACTAAGTCTGAGCGGCAGCCATTTTGGTTGGTTCCTGCCTTTGATTGCTTGACCTGTGTTGACTGGAATTGTGCATTTTGGTTGTGAATTGAAGCACTCTTCCAGAATTGAAAACACTCTGTGTTATAGAGCGACCAATTATTACCTTTTGAACGAATCTGTACGTGATCTATCCAGACAGGATAGAATAACATTTATTTGTGGTGATTGGTAATTTTCTTGCATTCTTTATCAACTTTCTTATTTATTGTAGTTTAGATTTGATCAATTAAACAATTATTGGTTGGATAGCTGTGTGGTTATATTTGTTTAGGTAATAATGTATACTTAAATTTATGATAAATTATAGAACCGCTATCTTACCCAATTACCTTGTTTTGGTTTCAAACGGGCGAGGGCGCGTATCCAACTTATCCAGGCAGCTGTCCAGCAGTCCAAACGTGGTTTGGATCCTACAGTTCTAAACAAATATTAATTGGTCAAAGTCGTTTGGAATCGTTTCGTGGATTTTGGTTATCCTTCTTGAAAATATTTGGTCGTTTCCTACAGTTCTAAACAAATATTACTTGGCCGAAATCCTTTGGTAATCGTTCACGGATTTTCTGGAAATAATTGGTCGTGTCGCTTATAATGCCAGTTAATCGTCGTCGGAGATCAGGCTCAAAGTTCGTCGATGTTAACGAAGAATCCCCTATTGTCAAGCAAGTACCTTTTGATGTCCTTAAGGGTCATGGTTCAGACTTAAATAGGGTTAATTATCATGGCAGTGATTCTAGCCTTAATTCGATGTCAGATGTAAAAAATCTTAGTTTAAAGGAGGAGCAAAGGCCTGAATTACTAGGAAAGAGCATGTCGCCTATAGTTCATGTTGTTGGCCCAGAGCTACCAAAGGTTGAACTGAGTTATTTCGATGGAGAGCCAAGAGGTTATTGGAAATTTATAAGGCAATTTGAGACGTATGTAGCGTCAAGAGTCACGGATGATAGCCAGCGCTTACTCTATTTGATACACTACTGTAAGGGCAAGGCTAAAGCAGCTATTGAAGGTTGCGTCATGATGGAGGCATCCTCTGGCTATAAAAGAGCAAGGGAGATTTTAAAACGTTTTTTCGGACAGCCTCACGTAATTGCTCGAGAAACACTAGAGGACTTATTCAGTGCTGCGAATTTTGAGTATATTGACGGGGACCAACTATCAAATTTGGCTATTAAGATGGAAAACTGTGCCATGGTCTTGGAGCAGATGAATTATACTTCTGATCTAAATTCCTTAGTTACCTTGGAAAGAATAGTGAGACTCTTGCCGCAACCTTTGCAAGCCCAGTGGGCGGACTGGGTGGATAAATTGACTGAAGATAACAGGGAACCGACCTTCGACGAGCTCACTCAGTTTATCGCATCGCGTGCGAGAGTGGCTTGTAGTAGATTTGGACGGTTAGCAAACCGTTCAAGAAAAGGACATAACGTAAAGACGAACTGTCACGTGCAATCAGAGCAAGGGAATAGTTCGACAACGAAAACTAAATGCAGTATGTGTTCCTACGACCATGCTATTGATAAATGTCCACAGTTCTTAGCGCTTACAGTTCAAGACCGATGGTCTCACGCTAAAAGCAAGGGTATATGTTTGTCTTAGACAAGGACATAAGGTTAATGAATGTAAGATGACAAGGCTCTGTAACGTTGACAGTTGTAAGAAGAGACATCACGTTCTGCTGCACACTGACTCGACAAGCAACGTCGTAAATGATAAGCCATCATGCTCGGAATATAGGAAAAGAGTTGTTAATCATATCAGTAAGGTACAGACACTGGAGAACGAAATACGTAAGCTTTATGATGAGTTTTCAGATGCTTATTCAAGTGATAAATCATTATCAGTAGACGACAAGGGGGCTATAAAGATTGTGGAAGGGGGCACGCACTTCGGCGACGGTCATTTTGTAGTTTCTATACCGTGGAAAAAGAATCCAAATATGAAAGTGGATAATTATGAAGTAGCAAACCGTAGATTACAAAGTTTGAAAGGTATGTTGTCGAAGGACGTCAGCCTGAACATCAGGTACATCAAAAGTATTGAAAGTAATTTTACTAAGACTTATGCGGAGAGGGTCCTTGAAATATATTTGCAGCCTAATTATCGCCCTCGAGGGTATTTACCTCATCATGCAGTGTTAAACATGAAAAAACCAGAGGAACTTAGAGTGGTCCTTGATTGTGCCGCCGAGTTTGCAGGGTTTTCCACAAATGATATGATTTATCAAGAACCCGATACCACTGATGAGTTAATGTGTATATTATTAAGTTTTCGCAAGGAGGCAGTTACAATCCCTGCAGATGTTGAAGAAATGTTCATGCAATTGGTCTCTGAGTCTGATCGAGGAGCTTCAAGATTTCTGTGGTGGCAGGAGGGAGACATGTCGAGGGAACCATCTGAGTTTCAAATGACATCTCATCCATTTAGTGCCATATCATCGCCGTTTCGTGCGAACTTTACCTTGAATAAGACGGCTCAAATATTCTCTGACGGTTATGATGGTTATGTTGTAGATGCTGTCAAGAATAATTTCTATGTTGATGATTGCTTGATATCCATTCCCAATTGTGATCAAGCAAAGAGTTTCGTTAAGCATATAAGTGAATTATTATGTAGAGGAAGTATGCAAAAAATGATCGATCTTGAATATTGGTTCAAATGTCCTACTTTATTGCATGGCGAATTTTATATAACAATCACTGACTGTCCGGAACCTACTCCTGACGATATTGAGTTTAGAAAAATTGCTGTGGTTAACTTGAGTAGTATAAAGCAAAACATGTCACCTATTCTCTCTTATAAATCCGAGTGGTTGAAATTAGTCGGGGCCGTAGCCTGGCTTAGAAGGTTCATAGAATTTCTGATGGTGCTTCGTTCACCGAGTCATGAAGGATCCGTTCATCTAGGATGTTTAAAGGTCAAGGAGCCTGACATCGCCAAGGGTAAGAATTTATTGATGGTTCAAAAGGAAGTGTGTGGAGAATTATTTAGTGAATTTAGAAACAGAAGTAAAGTAGTAAGTCATAATGATCTGAAAGGTTTATCACCGATAATGCTTGATGGGTTACTCTGTGTTACAGGTCGTCTAAGCTACTCAGAATTATTAAATGCTTTTGAACGTCCAGTAATTTTACCCAGTCGACACTTAGTGACGGAAATGATAATTAAACATTGTCATAAAGTACCAGGACATATAGAAAGGTCATTAGAAAAAGGATATAGATATGGGTTTACTTGTTTGCAAACATGGGCAATACATATTGAACTGATGTATAGTTTGATTACTGGTTCATTTATAATGGCCTTATTACGTTTTATTGGAAGAAGAAGGAAACCTCCGGAGATTTACAGTGATAGTGCGTCAAGCTTCATGGGAGCAGATTCTGAATTAAGGAGGTTTGTGCAACAGTCGAATCAGCAGAAGATAAATATTGAATTGTCAGCGAGGTCCTCATCCAACAGCATGGGTGTAATTTGGGGAAGAGTGATTAGGTCTATACCAAGACTGTTATTGTTGATCACGAGAGAACAGGTGAAGCAGGTCTCCTTGAAGCTTTGGATTAGTCTTTGTTGTTATTGATGTAGTTAGGTCGAGTAGGCGTACTGTTGTAAGTCCTACTCGTTCCTATGGTGTGATATGTTATATAATGAACCATGACCGTAGGCATCAAGGTAGCTTGTGTGATATGGAGGGATTTTGGGGGCCGGTGTAAGATCCATTTTGAATGCCTTGTGTGTTTGTGAAAATCCCTCCATGTATATACTTGCACTTTGTTCCTATTGATCTTCTTAGTTGTACATTGTTAACTTTTGGACTACATTTGAATTGTTAATCTTTGTATTTTATTATAGTTTTTGTTTTTACCACACCTTCACTAATTCCCCATGTTTCTTCCCGAACTGCACTTATGTTGTTTTACTTTATACTAAGTCTGAGCGGCAGCCATTTTGGTTGGTTCCTGCTTTGATTGCTTGACCTGTGTTGACTGGAATTGTGCATTTTGGTTGTGAATTGAAGCACTCTTCCAGAATTGAAAACACTCTGTGTTATAGAGCGACCAATTATTACCTTTTGAACGAATCTGTACGTGATCTATCCAGACAGGATAGAATAACATTTATTTGTGGTGATTGGTAATTTTCTTGCATTCTTTATCAACTTTCTTATTTATTGTAGTTTAGATTTGATCAATTAAACAATTATTGGTTGGATAGCTGTGTGGTTATATTTGTTTAGGTAATAATGTATACTTAAATTTATGATAAATTATAGAACCGCTATCTTACCCAATTACCTTGTTTTGGTTTCAAACGGGCGAGGGCGCGTATCCAACTTATCCAGGCAGCTGTCCAGCAGTCCAAACGTGGTTTGGATCCTACAGATATTTCATATACAACCACTGTTTGGTGGAACACCTATTGCATTTCCGAGGAAATCTCAAAGAAGCATATGTTCGTTATTTCTGTTAAGGGAAATTTGGAAAGTTTGTAGTGGGCTCAAAAATATAAACAGACGAATTCAAATTGAAGCCTATTGAAACATGTGTGCATAGATTATTGGGTATTAACTATTGAAAGACACTGTGGCAGTCGGAGTGTCGATGCCATTATAGAAAACAAAATACAAATTTTCAAGGAAATATAACAATGACAAATATCTATATACTTCTATTTGATATTCTCTCTGACTCCAGATCGCAACTACGAACTGCTGAGCCCACCAGATACAACCGCGAACAATGTCAGAAAATAATGGAACTGACTGCAGTTAATGTAATTTTGACACGATCAAACAAGATAAGTGGTTCAACACCTCATCATTCTTTACAAAATCTAACATAGAGTACATGAATAGGTCGACATAAACCTTCAACATGATATCATCAAATTCAGAATACTAACGATGAACTGAACTAACACTTCATCCACCTCATATTTTCCGAAAGATTACGGTGTCACACTATCCGTCATTAAAGAATACGAGCATCACTCTGTGTGGCACCCTAGGTTTCTGTTTCCGCTAACATATCGCAGCTGGTGTGATCCAAATGCTCTTGAGATTTTATAAAACAAGTATTAGGCAGCATTATCTTGAGATTTTTAAACATTATAGAAGAGTATGTTCCTGTAGCCAGTCCTTTATTCCATATATATAAGCAACAGATATGTTTTAGCAATTAATTATCTCAAGAGGACATCCACTTTAAATAAAATATGAAAAAGCTAGCTAAAAGAATTATGTGAACTTCTTCACTGTTGGAGTCAGAAGCTGTAGAATTCCCTAGTTAAAGCCACAGCAACTGTAGCCTTATTAGACTTTCTGAAAGGGAGACTTGAGGTTGGCTTAGTACCGACGTTAATTGTGTTGGTTAATTCACGTGTTATTATACCACCAAATCTAGGCTTACAAAATGAGTTGTAACGCCCCTAAGTTTTGTAAGGAATATGATATGAGTCATGTCATTTCAGATTCCAAAACGCTCTATCACTCCACAGGCATAAATATAATTCGGCAAACATTTCACCAATTCTGTCAATGAAAGCTTGTAATCTGAATTTCCAAGTGTATTAACAGGAGTGAGCAAATTCAACGGTATACTATAGAATTCAAATAACACCCTAAATCTGGTTACTTATCACGGAAAACACCATTCACACATGTTAAATGACATAGCTCTATATATTGTTTCGACTGAAACAGATTTGTTTAGATGCACCATTTGTTTCAATCACATTTACTTCTTCACACCAGCGCACAGTTAAATATTGGGTTTCGTTTGGATCACAATATAAAAATGGGTGTTCCGAATGCCGTAAGTTTTATGGTGATAAGTCACTTATTAAATTATTCAAAAAATTCATTGTCTTTTCTCGTTTCGTGCACAACCTCATAAAACTAATTTATCCGTGATTTTCACAGCGAGGCGATAGTTACCGAATGGCTACTGAAAAAAAGTCAAAGAAAAACCCTAAGAAGGATGACTTAAACGAACTAAAACAGGAGCTGGACATGGATGAGCATCGGATATCTCTCGATGAGTTGTATTCTCGACTATCCACCGATCCACAGAGTGGCTTGACTGCTGAACAGGCCAAGTAAGTCAGATATATTTCCTTGTTTTATTGCAAGGACTCGTTTGGAACGGGATGGACCAAATGCACTTACACCTCCAAAGACAACGCCAGAGTGGGTGAAATTCTGTAAAACATTATTTGGCGGCTTTTCATTATTGTTATGGATTGGTGCCGTTCTTTGTTTTATTGCTTTCTCAATTGAAAGTGGCACTCATGAAGATCCACCAAAAGATAATGTAAGTCCGGTTTAATTTCGATAATAGTTGTGTATTATTTTTTTTGTTTGAGATCTACATTGTCTGACCCATAATTTTATCAGAGAATACAAATTCGAGTACTCTTATCATCAGTACTTGTTGTCTATGCTAATTCTGAATTGTGATTAAGCTGTCCTGTAAACTAACCTATTTTACATGTACACTAGATAATCTAATGCTCAGGATTTCTTTAGGCATACACAAATGGAAAACATGTACCTTGTTTACTAGTTGGAGTAAAATGATTGAGGAGCTGTCGAACTACTGGTATTGATTACTATTGTGTACTTTACAAGGGTATCTAAATGTTAGTTGATTCTGAATGAAGTCTATCGAAACGTCTCTTATCATTTGTTTCTGTGTTTCTATCTGCTCACACTGGTGAGTGAAGATATTTAAGCAACCCTTTGCACCATGTTTTCTTTCAATGCGAGATGACAATAATTGATAAAATCGTTTATCTTTGTCATATTTAAAAAAACGGTGATCAACTGGTTACTTTACACATTCAGGCCGTTTGTTTGTTAGCACTACCCAGAACCCTATTGTATTGTAATTTATATATGAGACATTTCTTTATATACTCTATTAACCTGTAACTCAATGTTTCAAATACTCTCAGTCTTCTGACTCCTATCTCAGACTCCATTTTGCTTCTTACAGTTTGAACGACTGAGTGTCCATTACTTTAAGGTGTAATAACTTTACTAACCGTTTTTAAATAACAAGTAATTATTTCTCACCAAAGTATGCCGACTTTTTATTTCCATATCCTCTTGACACACCTGGGTTATATTATATTCACTTTGCTTAGCTAACCCATTTACTAAGTATGAGCTTATCTATTCCGTCGCAAGCCATATTTATGTAAGTGCTTGTGATTCTATCCGGCTACCTAATCTGAGGTAAAAAGAGCAAAGATCGGACCCGAGGACTTTCAGTGAATAGTCAAATGCCCTGGCCACTTAGTCTGTTTCATTTCTTTTTAACAATTTGTTTGCTTCCAATTGAATACTATTTGGAGATAAATAAACGTTTTCAATTTCATACGGTTAATGATTGACTACTGACAAAACATACAGGATGAATAATATAGGTTATAGTCTATAAGTATGACTTTATTTTGGTATAATTTCCTTCCAGTCATTTGGTTTAAAATAAAATAAGTGGTAATCTAAATAAGTATTAACCATTCTTAACTTGAGGTCGTTGTAGTAGACACTTAAAGATTTAAAGTAATATGACGTACGAAGTTATTAGTGCGAGTGAAAATTTTCTGAAATTAAATAATTAAAACTTAATCGTACAACTTTAAGGAAAGTAGTACTTCTTCATAATAGTCATAAAGAAACCCTACTTTGCTTAGAGACAATATAAGCTTGTTAAACCCATACAACTGAATACCCTTAGCACTGTTCTTAGTTTGCTGAATGTCTCGGTATCCTTACAGCCTTCATCACATCGCTTAATGTGGTACTCTTTTGTTATTATTGTTTTAATTCACCCAGTCATATTTACTTGTTTGCAGTCTAAATAAATTACTTTTATCATTTTATTAAAGTTTCTAACTGGGGCGGACTAGTTTTATTATTTACGATGTAATATCGATTGTACAAAATTGATGTGCAAAGTTCAACATTGAAAGTCATATCCCATGATTCATAAGTGGGTTTTAAGAAATTTTGTATCTGCCAGTCATACTCAATCATTGAGTTCCAAACAGGTAACTTCATTTTGTTTTCAGTCGAGTTTCTGTGCCGCTGCTCTTCAAACCTAGTATAGTTTGCTCAAAACAAAACACATCTTTGTACAATGGTCTACCTTAACTCCATAGTTAAATCACTATATAGTAAGATAGAGAACCTTTGTGTATTGTTTGTTTGGTGGATTAAGTACTTTGTCCTCAGTGTCTCAGCTAATTGTCAGTTTTTGTTGTTCACTACTTCTTATGATATTCTGAAAACCGTTTGTAATCTATAACTCAATTACACATTTTTCCTTATAGATATTTAATGTATAATGGGATAACTAGTTAAAAATGTATAAAAGTGACGGTATTTTTATCGGTTCATTGCATTCTACACATACTTCATTGACTCGAAAGAGTAAATAATTATAATGATAATAATGTGGGTTTTTTTGTCATTACATTTTGTAGATATATGAAAGTAAGTACAGACGAATTACTGATTACTGTGTAATTTATTATTCTTTCTTAAGATGGTATTTTTGTCTTTTCAAGCTTTACCTTGGGATTGTATTATCAGTTGTCGTAGTGGTCACCGGTTGTTTTTCATACTACCAAGAATCAAAGTCATCACGTATTATGGAATCGTTCAAAAAAATGATTCCCCAGGTAAGTCAATGATACTGATTAACATAGTTGTTAGTAATACTTCAATAGGTTAAATTTCTTTATTTCGCTTATCAAATTTTCGGTCAGTACCTCTTTATGACACCTCTATATATTTTATGACGCAATAATATCAGTGAACTTTTTTAGTCTTTTATCAGTTAAGTTGATTGATATATTAGCTAGTTACGGAGTTCTACACAACCCCATTTCTATGGTTTCAATCGCCGATCATTCAAGTTCATCTACCGATAGCTACAAAGGAATTAGTTTGGCTTATACATTAGCCTTTATAGTTGTCCGACACTCACCTGGTACTTGGCAGCACAAAACTGGGGAAACCCAGGCTGGCTTCACACTCGGATATTGATAAATTGAACAAGTATCCACTTTTTTTCAATTCCCTGAACATAAAGTGGTTAGGCCATCCAGCTGTCTTCTCTGTGTTACACGCTGTGGTTGAAGAAGTTTTAGAATTTCTTGATACATCCTTTTTGATACCGTTTTCTCGAACAATATTCACAATGCTTAGTTTTACTCATTATCATTCCTACTACATTATTTGGAATCGTTTACTATTCATCATTTTATTCTCATCTCATCATATTAATACGGTATTAATAGTTTGGGCTAACTTATATTTATGGCTGACTTAAATTTCCATTAGATTTGACAATGAAATTAATCAAGTGTTCTTAAAGTCAATCACAGGATATATCATAAGATTACCATAAGTACATATGTAATTGTTGTTCTAAATGGGCTTTTTTCCAGTGTCTTCAAATGTATGTAAAGTCGTGCGAATAAAGGTAACTAATGTTAAATAAAAATAAATAAATAGATCAGATTAACAAAACTAGACTCTGATTAAAATAAAATGGTTGTTAACTGAAGCTTATCTTATTCATAGTGATACAATACAGTCTTCTTACTAACTTTATTCAAAGCAAACAACTAATACTCGTAAGTATCACCATACTACACAAGTTTATCTAAATCTGATGTCGATTACGTAACCAACACATAAGGTTTTCATAGGATATATATATATATATACACTAAAGATAATGATAAAAACTGTAATCACTACCATTGGTATGGTTTTTATCCTGTAGACTGCTTTAGTTATTCGTGGTGGAGTGAAAATTGAAGCACCAGCTGAAGCTTTGGTAGTTGGTGATTTAATCGACGTCAAGTGTGGTGATCGTGTACCAGCAGATATAAGAATCATTTCAGCTAGTTCATTCAAGGTGAGTATATATATATGTCTTGTACATTTTAAATATTTGAGTGTTATTTTGATTAGAAATTTGGTATAAATTTTTAGTAAATGATTGTGAAGATGATCGAATTTCTTCGAAATATGATCAGTTCATGATTCCAATGAAATTTCTTAGTTTACTTCATGATTTAATTGAATTCTCATAAATTCTCCCCCTCTCAAAAAACATCACGAATATGTTTGTCATTTAAAGCTGGAGTTTGCTTTTTTACTTTTTCGAATGTAGAATATGAAATGAAATTTGTTTATATAAAAAGAAACATGTATATGAAAAGATTTCCTATCTATACTGAATGATATTCACACAAGTCATATAAATGTTAGTCTTTAGTATTACATTACCTATTTTACATAATAGTTAGTCAGTCAGCTATAACGTAGGATCAGGCACATATGTGTATAGGTTCAAATTGCCATACCTCATTATCACAACAGGGTGAACACCGAATTCATAGAAACAGTTAATTCAGTGGTGGTAATATATAAAAGAAAGAATACATATAAGGATATAGTACAGGAAGAAAGAATTAGTTCGTAGAAAGAAAGACATAAAGTGATTGTAAGCTCATAGTGCAAAGGAAGACAAACAGTGTATTTCAATATATGGGTTTATGAGTAAATCACTGAATTTTCATACAATAAGTGACGAGTTCGAACTCGTCGAAGCATCGCTCGTATGTCCTGGGACCACCGAATAAGTAATGCAGTTGGTGGGGAACGGGTGCTAGGTAAGGATGGCAAATCAATTGATGAAGTAGTGAAACTACATGATTTGAGATGGCTGGGACATTCGCTACGTATGCACAACCACCGACTACCCCGACGAGTGGTTTTATGGTGTAGGAGTAGGTTGGAAGGAAGCTAGGGGCGGCCAGACCAAAACATGACACAAATCCATGATGTCACTGGCAAGTGGACTAAGCCATGTTGGTAGATGTAGACTACCTGGTTGGGATCCACGAGACGATAGCAACCGATGGTTAAGGACCTTGAACGACATAAATCAAAATCGTCTGCAATGGCGCAGGTGCATACACTCTTTGTGTTCTCCCAAATTCTAATCTTCTGAATTCTTCATGTCCCTTTCTTTTTTCTCTTTCCAAATTAATTTCACTGGATTATACTCCTTGACTAACATCTTCAAACCCTAATCTTTCCGATTACTGCTTATACTTTTACTACCTTTGCCATTATGGGATTTCAATCGACAATTGTATCTCTGTGCTAATGTGGTATGTCAACTCAAACTGATGTACGTCCGTACGAAATTCTACGTTGTCGCTGACTGACGTCTATTTTTGTACAGTATGTTCATTCGGTTAGTCTCACTGGGTCTCGTACAAACAGAATGGTTCGAAGTGATGTACATAGACACCCATACTTATTATATTACCACTTAACTTCGAATAATCTGTGAATTTTTTTTAGTAATTATTCATTTATGCAAAAGGTTGTAGAAACAACTTTTGATACAAAGATTCACAATTGAAGTAAACATTTAATGTTATATGAATAAACTGAATGTCCCAATGAAATTGGTCTTGATAATTTATATTTACTTGCTCAAATATATATTAGTGAAATAAATGACTATTATTAGAATAGGAATTGGTGGAGATTATAGTAATTTTAATAGTTGAATTCATGAGTTGATCTAAGTTAAATTACCATTAAACACTTGAAAATACTGGACAGTCGTTTTGTCCCACTATGGGACTCTTCAGCATTACTTATCCACGATTGAATTATTTCCATTTTTTATAAAAATTATCAAATGTAGCGTTGAACTATATTAACAAAACAGAAAAAAAATTTCTTTTTTTAAGATAAGTTTATAAGTCTTACATGATAAATCCTATATATTAGTTAGATATAGTCTGGAAAAAAAAACTAAGTTTTATTCAGGTCTACTATCAATAGTAGATACATTTTTAATAGAATATCAACATGTGAATTGTTAAATTGATAAGGACATTGTAAGAGAAGTAAAAACAAATACGGGTTACATGATCTGTTTCTTATGTGATCATTGTTGCTATGGCCTAAATCAAAGACTCTAATAGAATAATTTCTTTTTTATATACACTTGAATATTTAAATGTAAGTGTATATATACTGTATGATAGTTCTTACTTGATTCATATTGAAATAAGTTAGAATCATAAACGTATAGACAATAAACTAGGACAAAATATATAAATTAAAAAAAACGGCCTTACCTACTGTTTTTCATCAATGTTTTATATTTCACAATTATTCAGTTTACTTTGTCTTATAACTATTTCATAATTTATTCAATCATATAAAAATATTGAATTAAACAGATCGGTTGACTTATTGTGGTTGTGTGTTTATGTGTGTGTGAAGTTAAGTGATACTAATTCATTGTTTAAATCGACAGAGATTATATGAAGATGACTATGCTTTTTTTTCCAATGTTTAGCAAGTGTAATGTATTTCATCATTCATTTAGTCAGTACTGTATATAGAGCCCTCAAATACCCTGGTATGGCCGAGAGTGGAGTGGGCCCGCCTTCACCCTCGAAATGCTCTCACACGGCCACGCGTATACAGCCTCTGCCTCCGCCTTCTCGTGGCGGGGGTGTTGTTTACGAAAATGAGAGGATGAAAAGCGAATGTCCGGCGCTTTAGCCGGATTCCAAACTAATGGTGTACATGGGCTCCAGTATCCTGCGGGAACAAATGGCGTATGAACCAATTTTTGGTCACCGACTACCATGGGACTGCATCTTATCATGATGCTCCACTGCCTTGTGGATCAGACCTTAAGGTCAAAGGCTCGGGGTGTGGCTCCCTAAGAAAACCACTTGCTTCGGTCTGGGCACCCGGGAAGTATCACAGCCCTCACACAAATATGGTGTGGCGCATATATATTTGGTGCCCTCTTGAACCAATATTTATGTGTCCAAATAAATAAATAAAACTGTATATAGAAGTGTAATTTTCATTGAGGACTTCATTCTACTCATTTAGAATTATTAACACATGTTTTCTATGAATACGACACTGTAGGGCATCTGATGGAACTGTAATCTATGGATGACCTTTCGGTGACGTCAAAGTGACCTTGAGATTGTCTACCTATTTACTAGGGCTAAATGAGGGTTATAATACAGTATGAAGAATTAGAGTTATGATTTACAATTGATGATTAGGGTTAGGGATTATATTTATGGATTTTCATCATGAACTGACATTAGCTAAAATGCCAGAACGCTATTTGGTCAAATGGCTGAGTGAATTTCGAGCCGAAATTCAAGATCAGTTATCTTACATCTGATTGATTCGTCCATAAACTGTAGTCTCGCCAAATGCTATTTTTCACTTACTAAATGAACTAGATATTGTACATTTGAAAGCAAGATACATTACAAATTCCCGGACATATATACCATAGCAATGAAGCAAAGCAGTAAATTTCAACTACTTCACATCGATTGATTGAATTTGGGATTTGTAAAAGTTCTTTGAATTTTCTCAATGTATTATATGTCTACATACTTCATTTTCATAAATTAATCAAAGAATTTCTTTCTAGAAAATACTTTCATTTACAACAATAGTATTATATGCAAAAATAGATAGTGGTTATCAGCGGAATCCAGGATGCGCGTTTCGTCCTATTTGGGACTCGTCAAAGGGGTGTACCTGCATCTCATGGTTGATGTTTACTCTGGGACTTAAACCAAGTACCGTTCGCTCCAACCGCCATCTTGTTATTCACTTAGCTACTGACTCATGATAGCCACTTGCTCGTGCAATCCATCTTTGCATGTAATGCTTGTGAATTTAGGCTATATCGAGGCAAAACGCACAGTATGTACATAAGCCAATAAGAGACTGATCAATTACTGTCCGAAACATAAATGGGAAGATACAAATAATCAATACCAAGTGGATTGAAGATTAATAGTGTTTAGATTTTAATTGCCCCATGTCTGACTCCATTTAAATAGTATGATGATTGTTATCGGGATATATATATATATTGTTGCATACACTCCTTCATCTAGATAGATAATCAGAGAATCAAAGTAACGATAAGTGGAGTTAACTCACTCGCCTTCACTGCGCATCATTTCGTTTCCTTGATTGTCTGTTTAAATCAATGAATTATGGGATATACGTATTTGAACTTCATTCTCGTATTTGACTTATTCCGTTATTCACTAATGTGGCATATAATATATTCCGATAACAATCATCATACGATCTAAATAGAGTCAGATATAGGGCCACTAAAATATATACATATCTTTATATTTTGTAGAAACCCAAACTTCAATTGTTATCTAGTTACCCTTTTTCAAAGAATCATAGACTCGACAATTCGTATATTCTTTAGTCTCATATCAGTCTGTAGTTGAAAATAAGGCGAGACGATCCAATCAGGTATAAGATAACAGGTCTCGGATTTTGGCGCTAAATTTACTCATCTATTTAGCTAAATAGAGTTTTGACATTATGGTTAATATCATTTCATGATGAAAACCCTAAATTTAATTCTTTACACAGGTTTATAATCTTCATTTGTTACTGGTTATTAGGTGGACAGTCTCAAGGTTACTTCAGTGTCGCACAAAGGTTGTCCACAAATTATAGTTTCACTATAAAAACGACTTTCATCATAGCCTACTAATTTAACTAGTACGATTATTCTTCAACATTGCATCCCATCTCCCAATACAGTATTCATTTGGAATAGTTTTCTAAGTACTGTATCAGCTTATGGATGAAAATTAGTCTTTATTTCAATTAATCTTTATAAGAATAAACTAACTATGAATAATCATACAATGTAGATTAGATTGTCTAAATGTTTTTAATCTAGTTATTACGTTTTAAATGAAAAAAATTGTATATCTTCATAACTATTGTTAATTGTAATTTAGTATTTTAGGTCAAGCAACCTAGTTTAGACCGTTTTTACAGCGGCTACTACTACCACTATTATTACTATTACTTAAAGAACTGTTTATTAAGAATATACATCATGTGCTGTATGTAATACCCTTCCACTATTACCATCATCACCCCCCCCCGCCCATCAATGTTACACATACCGTTATTCTTTCCTTATGAAAATCATAGTAAAGTATTTTATTAAAATATATATATATATAATTTTCATGAATATATATTTATTAGTTTGCCACTTCCGTTTTCATTCCGCCTTTGAACTTAACTAACTAACTAACTCTCATGTGTCCTCAAAATTGACGATTTTGTAAATAATCAGTTGTATAAACCATCACTATTGAATAACGATTGATGCGTATTAACTCGTTCATACATATAGATATATATATATATAACCTATTATTATTATTATTATTATTATTATTATTATTATTATTATTTATTTACTGGAATTGAACAAGTGTTTCAATTATTGATAAATGGGTATCATGGAAAAAATTTTACGAGTGAAATGAACTGACAAAAATATATATGGAGATAGATAGTTAGATATTTGATTCAGTTTCATTTATCAGATCATATTATATAAGGAATTCAGTTAGTTTATAATAGAGTATTATCGCATTTAATTCATTCTAGTTTTAAGATATACTTTTGTTGTTGTTGTTGTTGTTGTTGTTGTTGATAAGTTAAGATTAAAATAAACTTTCTCCACTTATCATTAAAGTTTTAATGGTTCAATGCAGCTAATAGTGAAATGCATTAAGTTATGTTTGACTCTTATCAGTTGATAATTTACTTATAGTTCTATTCGATGAAGGATGTTGACAAAAGTGTCCTTTGTAGCTTCATCTTTTGGTCCTCTATGACGTGTTAGTATTTGCGGATCCGATAGTGTGCATCTGTTATCATTAGGTATACCATTTTTCATCCACTTTGCTCAGCTATTTTCCATCCTAATGGGCTTGTATGTGCTCTTATCTTCAAGTAGTTCCTCGGTCTTTTTGAGGTATTCTTCTTTGCCCATAATTACTGTGGTGCGTCGTTGACAAAATTCAGTGTTCTGATCATTTTAAGCATCAATCCAGGTATGTTTAAGATATAGTTCTGTAGTAAACGAGAACACCAGTGAGTACAACCGAATGTATTTGAACACTAAAACACAGAATTTTAGTAAAATCGGAGAACCATACAGTAAATAATTCATTTGCAAAATATTAATCAATTGTCTCAGACTTTATTGTTCTTTCGTTTCCACATCAAGCATTCTCTGTTCTCATCCTCTTTTCCTCGACCTTCTTAATCTTCTTCCGCCAGATATTTCACTTTCGATTGATGATACATACCACCTATATCTGTCAACATCATTAACATACACCGCAGTTCTCTCCTAAATGCGAAATGCTACTTCAGGATTGGCTTGCGTCATCGTTTTTATTAGTAATAGGGTGCGAAAAAGTTGAATGCATTGATCGCTTTATTTATCTTGAGAGTCTCATCAGTCCTGATTATCTAGTGTCTGGCAAGATCTCATTACGAATTGAAAAGGCTTAGGTGGCCTTTGTCAGTTTGTATCATTTGTGGCGTAGGTGAGATACCCATCTTTCAACCAAAGAGCGAGTTACTGCGCTTTATGGATATGAACCATAGCTATTAAGAAAAGAGGATATTCGAAGGTTACTGGTTTCCGATCATAGGTTTCTACGATGCATTGCTCATGTGTTTTGAGACCACAGAGTAACCAATGCCTGGATTAGAAATAGAATACTCAGTAAGAATTGCAAATCGCTTAAGGTATTAAAATTTCACCATCTAAGGTGGTTGTGACATTTGTTACGTATATCCAACCACCACCTACCATGACAGACGACATTTTATGGTGTAGGACTAGGCTCGAAGAACGCTAGGGTCAGTCAAACCAAAAAATTGCATCAGTTCGTGAAGTCACTGACAGTTAGACTGAACCATGCTAATAGGTGTAGACTACATGGTTGTGGTCAGTGCGATGATCATAAGCGGTGGTTAGAGAATTTGAATGAAATGGCTTAAAATCGTTTGGACTGTCTCAGGTGCATCCATTCTTTGTCTTTCTCGAATTGAGATTCCAAATTCCTCATAAAGTTTTCCCGTATTTATCTCAATAATTTACATTTTCTTCTCGAACTGTATTTTTAATGCCTAATCTTTCCTATTATGTTTGATGCTGTCACTATATGTACTATTTTTGGATTTGGCCTGACAACTTGATCTCTGTGGGGTTTTGCAACGTTTAGGATCTACGTTGTGACTAACTGATGTGCCTGAATCTGAGTGTTGTTGTTCACACTGATATTTGAACATTGTATCCTTCGTTTCGAACGTCCAGCACATTATTCACTTAGTTATTGAGTCCTAAAGTGAACAATAACACTTTGGTTCAGATACATTCAGCTGACAAGTTTCAAATAGGATGAAACGCGTGTCCTGCATTCTTCTGCTCGGTATTATCTATCTCTGTTCCAAAATCTTTGTAACCGATGAAATATTGAGGCGATCTAATTCATGTGGATATAACCCAAACGATACAACTGAATTATAACTTCGTAAAGATTTTGAGTAATTTTTCACTTCTAACTAAAGCCAGGTGAAGAGTTGCATGGAGAACAAGATAGAACTGATCATCGGTTATCTCATTTTCGTTTATGAGTCGTACTTAGCAATAAACACACCTACCTATAACTCAATACACTGGTTGAAATTAAGGATCTTACAATCATGCAGCGCATCCATGACCCACCACTGGGGATGGTACTCAGGAACTTCGGCCTCGCACACAGAAGTTTAACTTCGAGATTGATGATTTGTGGTTTAATGGTGTACAAGTTTAAATTCAATCAATTCACCCCATCGTGGGATCATTTTGCATTACCTATTGTGGATAACTGTCTCACACCCGACATAGTTGAAAATCGCTAGTCAGAGCTTCTTAGAATTGCATCTAAAACTTAGTAGTGAGCACATTATCCTTATTACTTTAGGAGGGTTATGAAGATTGTTGAGTTACATTAGTGTAGTAATTCAAATTGCTTGTCTGTTCTCTTATCGATTTAATTTACCTTATATTCCTATATACTTTGTATTTATGGCGACATTTTAAACTTTTCTTTTTAACTTAAAAAAACCAACACACATATTTCAGGTGGATAATTCTGCGTTGACTGGTGAATCTGAGCCACAATCACGTACAGCAGAATATACAAATGAAAATCCATTGGAGACAAAGAATTTAGCCTTCTTCTCAACTAACGCTGTCGATGGTGAGTAGTATATATACATATATATGAATCATATCGGTTACATATTATACTCTCATTAATTTTTTGTATTTTATACATATGATTCATTGCTTCCCTAGGTACAACACAGATTCATGTACTTGACTTCCAGCCATACATTCTCTGAATTATCAGGGCTACTTATACTATGAGATTGACTAAATCGAGGCAAATAGAGATGATTCGAACTCATGACTTATTGGTCAAAAGTTGAACCGCTTAAATGCTGAATTTTCAGATTTTACAATGAAGTTAATATATTTAAACTACTTAGATTCAATTCGTCGGTCGAAAATTTCACATTCAATCGATTCATTATAGATTATGGCTAACATTGTTATCACCTCGTAAGTTGACACTGCACTCTAACCTCTCCTCATTCGAATTTTAAATGACCAATTGTAAAGATATTTGAATCGTTCAGAAAAGGTGGTTTTTGTCTCCTCCAGTAATTCAGTTCATTGTCAGCTCATGGTGATATGGGATACAGGTACAATACCGGAATAGTCATCATCTTCCTTTAAATTCTGAGTTTGATTTTTATCCCACATTTCTCATTCGTTTAGTCTCTCAGAAATTTTAATGCTGGTCTGCATCAAGAAATGATAGAAATTGAAGTTGTTAAACATGTCTATCACTTCACTTATCTTGTAAATCTCATTACTTCTGATGCGTTGGTGTCTGACCAAGTCTTAACATGAAGTGAGGGGGTCGAACCAAGATATCACAGTAATCCGTGGGGTCAATAATTCTTAGACTGAGCCATGCATGTAAGCGTTAATAACAAATAACATATATATCGAGTCTCACGTTATTTATAAGAGACTGGGCTATAAAAACTGTCCAATTTATGTATACATCATTCGATCCTGTATTTTGAACTTCCCTGATTGTTATGGCTATAGTAGTGAGCTTAATTTTTCACCATTCTAATCCTCAGATGAATCACTGCAGAAATCATGTTCAACTAATCTTGATCATTATCAACTAGTGCAGACATTTCATTTTCAGAGCAAAATACAACTTCAGTTTATTATTCATTCTGTATTGGTTGTTTGAATCTTCCCTATGACATTTTGGACTGCAATTGACCAGTCTCTTTTTGACGTATGTGCATCCTGTACGGATTGCCTTGATATTATCTTAAGTCACAAGCATTATAATTGGTTAGCAGTAAAATACAGGACGCTTGTTTCGTCCTGCTTGGGACTCGTTATCTGCATGTACCCACGTTCCGGAGTTGATATTCACTCTGGAACTCGAACCCGGTATCCTCCAAATAGAACGAAACTCGTTTCGCTGTCTTCCTTTAAACTATGAGATTAAAATTGCTTTATACCTTTTTTTCTACGAACTAATTCTTACTTCCTGTACTATATCCTTATATACAATTTTTCTTGTATATATTACCACCATTGAATTAACTACTTCTATGAATTCAGTGTTCATCTTGTTATGCTAACGAGGTATTACAACTTGGACCGTTGTATATATGTTCCTGGTTGTGCGTTGTAGCTAACTGACGAAACTTGCTTCGTAGATTATTCCATTGCTAGCCACTATCCATCTTAGTTTATTGTTGTTTACTAAAAAGATTTCCGATCAATCCATATGCTAATTATATTTCAAAGTTAAAACCATTAGAGGATTTCATTTAAATTCCTTTTATAATCTCTTAGAAATAATACAACTATATTTATATGTATTCTTGAGATTAGGCGTAGTGTTTTTTTATCCTATTTTTGTGACCTACATTTTAAACCAGTTGCTTGGAGGCATGAATTTGTTTGTTGTAATATATATATATTGATCTGTGATTGTGAAACTGACAGCCAAACACCAACTCTAATCCTTATATTAGTTTGATCTCATATTCCCCCTGTAGTTACATAGATCTCTCTCTCTCTCCCTGTATATATATATATATATATATATATATATATATATATATATCAATAGTCTATGCTTGATATATCCTATTTGGAATCATCGTTTATCTATTTATTTCTATTATTATTTTGTAAGAATTGTTTACTTGTTTTTCAAAGTTTATTTAGAAATTTCGGATTACACCTAATTTATCTTCTTTTCCTTTTTTTTGTTTATTTAGTCATTTAATAATATTGAATAGATTAACTAGATTCTTAGAATAAATAAAATTACTATGAGTAAATAAATTAATGAAATAATTAAAAGAAAAAAACAGAACAAATGACTATCATGTCCATCCACAAAATTCTCCCGCCCCCTTCTGATATGGATCAACATATGATCACTAGTAGTGACTAACTTCAAGAGGTTACTACTTCCTAAAGTTCTAATGAGAAGCAATGATCAACCAGATCTGTTGTGAGTTAGTAACTCACTAAAGAAAATGGTGGATATGTCACTTAATTTCGTGGATTAGTTGAAGTTAGACATTAACAACATTGAATGCTGGCAAGCTCAGTGGTCTAGTGGTTAAACGCTCACCCGCGAGACTGGTAGGTCCTGGGTTCGAGTCTCACGAGGTGGGATCGTGAATGCTCAATGCTGAGGAGTCCCACAATAGGATGAAACGACCGTCCAGTGATTCCAAGTTTTCCATGATGGTTTAACTTCTTTTGACTCATGAATCCAACTATTAAATTACTATAATATCCACAAATGCCCTTCTGAAAATAATTATTAGTAGAATCAAAGAATTTAACCAATTGATATTGAGTAATTAATCCCTAAAATGTGTTTGATTTTACCTATACAAAATTCATCAAACTGCAACTATAACCCGAATAACTTAGTGAGGTAAGGTCTCAGATTGTAAAGTTTGACTAAGGTGGATCCAAATCCCACAGGGAGAATCAATCCGCCCAATATTATGGGTTACAGCTTACTGATGAATGTTGACTAAAATGAAATCCATGTCAAACAAGGTTTCTTGCCGACTATATCCAACCACTTAGCATTGAAACATAGTGCTTATGATATTAGTAACCACATTATAACTCGATCTATTGAATGGGGTTTTACTGAAAGAACTAAAAAAAAAACATAATATTGGTCACCGCTACTCATTGACCAACTAGTTATAGCTGCCAGTAGTTCGAAGAGGACGCATACTTGTTGCAATTAGTGTTCCTGTAAAATTACAATTAGGTTAGTTAATATTCAGCATATAATGAATATAAAATCACGAATGTAGGAGGCTGGATATATTAAGCAAAAAACAGACCAACCCTGAGAACTCTCTTAATTTCTCTGATAGGTCAAGTTCAACCGTAATATTACAAGTTAAGTACACTAAATTATGAATTGACTGAAGTTGTTAATAAGTTGCCCATTGAGTGTGATAGATAACTCGATGGTCTAGGGTGTCAGATCTTAGCTGATAGTTCTTTAAGTTGAAGGACTTAATTTCTGACAGGGTTGTAAATTCACTTTGATGAAGAATAGCTTTATATTCGGCATGAACATACCTTCACAATCTACCACGGTTCCAAAGTACTCCTCGGAAAAGTCTATAGGGGCTCGGAAAAATCTCGGAAGCACTTTATCCAACCAGCGTTGAATATAAACTTCTCGAAAACATCCAGAATGTAAAGAGTCACGTTTCTCTTTAGATACTTACCTATACTGCTACATCTCTTAGTATGATTCGAGAAACTTTGAGGAGCTCAAGGTTTCTGTGTAACTGTAAATACCCTCATTTTTCTATACATAAACTGACTTTCTAGTAAAGCGTTCTTATCGCAATCCTCTTTTGCTTTCCTGCGTTTAAGTTGCCGTGCAGATTTAGCCTGAGGTTATTTGAAGTGTCTGCAAACCGGATCAAGTGTTCATTTAGCAGACTAATCGATATTCGTCCACCTAAAACTGGTTTTTCGTGGTGTAAACTATTTCTATATTGAATAATCTCCATAATTTGTCCTCCTAGTTTTGTGCTATTAGTTTATGTGGTAACTTTTGGTGTCACACATACCCCATCTACCATGTACATATTTGTGTACTTAGCTACGGTAAGTATGAAACATAGTTCCTCAAGCCGGAGTAGGTGGGGAGGAGTTTAAGCTTGACGGGAAGTCGAATCCCTAGTCACTTTATAGGGTATTACTTCAATTATGATAGCTTAACCTACTAAGTATAGTTTTCTACACTGTATTGGAGGGAGTGGAACTGTTACATTAACCAGTTTATTTATTAATATTATTAGAGTCGTATGACACGAATTCTGTCCATCTCAATAACCTCTTGGCTTACATTTTTCTCTCCTTTCTCTTTGTGTTCACGTTGGCTTTAAAGTCATTAATTACCACCGGTTTTACTTAATTATTTATTTAAACACATAAACATTGGTACAAGAAGGCATCAAATAGATATGCGCCACACTTCGTCATTCGATTTGTGTGAGGGCTGGAATACTGTCCGGATGCCCAAACCGAAGCAGATGGTTTTCTTAGGAGAGCACACCCCAAACGTTTGATCTAGAGGTCTAATCCATAAGGTAGTGAAGAAATGTTAGGAGATGCGGTTTCATGATAACTGGTATCTGACAATAGGTCCATGTGCCATTTGTTCCCTCAGAATCCTGGTAGCCCATGAGCACCATTGGTTTGTATTTAGGGTTTTCCAACTCCCCTAGGTGGATCCTCCATATCTACCAACCGGGTTAATTCTCCAGACATTCGATTTTCGTCCTCTCAATTTCATCGCTAGAAGGGATTGAGTGAGACTTCACTACCAATAATTGTATGCACGTGGCCATGCGAAAGCATTTAGGGAGAAACAGAAAGAGAGCGGACTCTTCCCACCTTCGACCGTACCTGGTCATTTGGGGGCAATTACCACCGGTAAGTTCATTCGTTTGTCTGCTTTTATAATTTCACTGATAAACATAGCAAAAATGATATTCAACATGTAAATAAGTTATTTCTCTTTAATGCTTTTTTTTACATCCTATTTCATATTTAGGTACATGTCGTGGTATAGTTGTTAGTACTGGTGATCGTACTGTTATGGGTCGTATAGCAAATTTAGCTTCAGGTTTACAAATTGGTCAAACACCAATTAATAAAGAAATTAATCATTTTATTCATCTTATTACAAGTGTTGCTGTATTTCTTGGTGTTTCATTTTTTGTTATTGCATTCATTTTGGGCTATCACTGGCTTGAAGCTGTAATCTTCTTAATTGGTATCATTGTAGCTAATGTTCCAGAAGGTCTTCTAGCTACTGTGACGGTAAGTAAAAAACACTATTTGTTTTTAATGGTTGGATCAATTGGTTCTTCTTTTAATAATTTTTTAAAAGATCGTAAACCGATATTAATTTCAATAGTTAAGATCATGAGTCAGTTGAAGGTGGACCACCATAGAAAACCTGGAAGCACTGGACGGCTCACAATAGGACGAAACGGCCGTTCAGTGCTTCCAGGTTTCCCATGGTGGTCTAGCTTCAACTGACTCATGATCTTAGCCATTGAAATTACTATAATATCCACAAAACCCATCTGATATTAATTTACCGACTTCTTCAAACGACCACTATTGTTAGGACATCTTCACGATAATCATTCACTTGTTTAATAATGATCTATTCATTTTCATGTCCATCACTCGTAAAGTGATAAACTAAGCATCTCTTATTGATCCACGTCGGGACATTTATTACGAGTAGTTAAACGACCGTTACAGGCGTGAAATCAAACCTAAAGTTTAAAAATCAGTCTATCAATACATTAACTGTTAAACTAAACCATACTGATAGGTTTGGGATTGACTCGTTATATTGATGCTCAGTTGTCTGTTCTCAATAAACCAAATACATTTATGAGATATATATTGCTTTGAAAATTTGAATGTCCTATTTCACTTAGTACATTATATCAATGTCTTGTACAAGACAGTTCAAGTCAACTGTAAACTACATTACATTTAACTAAGTAATCAAAATAAATAAATGTGAAACATGATATAAAGTACGAAATCGGTACACTGTGGAATAAATGCAATATATAATTTAAAAGATAGCGTATACATTTAGATGTTTTGTTCTCTGAGCTGAATGTTATGGTCTCGTCGCTTTCATTGTTCTTCTGAATAACATCACCAGCACAAACTTTAGTCAAAAGTGGTGTTAGAATTTCTCCACGTATGACTTACAGCTTATCCTTTAGACCTTGATCTTGATTGACTATTGTTGACCTTTAACCTGTCATTGTATACATACATTTACTTCATTTGAATGTATTTTAACCCATGTTTCAACTCATATTCCTATGGTCAGTAATTGAGTACGTTCAGTTGCAATGACACTCCTGAATGCGCTATATCTGGTATCGTTGGAGCAATTTGGAGGAGATCTAGATATAGTCAGACGTAAACATGGAATTAGTCCATGAAGTGATTGGAGATGTTGAGTAATATCCTTTGATTTCATTATATTGACACAAAAGCATTCATTACCTTTTTTCTGTGATAGGTTCCGACCCCTTAAAAAAGTCCATACGTCTAATTCCTGTATCTCTTTTCCTTGTACTTCAACTCCTCAGCTATTAACCTTAATAAATTTAATCTCTCTATATCGATGTTGTGTAAGAGTTGGGACAAATGGACATCTAAACTAAGGATTCAGTTGAATACAACTATCGCTTAACAACACCATCATCATCATATACAGAGGCATGTTTTTAACTGGAAATTTTTAGAAGCTTTACATTCGGGTTACAGACTAATAAGTTGAGGTTGTTGTTTGCAAATTCAATCTGTGCATCAATTGAAAAGCGGAACGATAAATAACATGCCCATAATCAAACGATCAAATTCTGTTCATCTTATTAAAAATAATCATTTCTTATATCTTCCGTCATCAACCAGATCTACTTTTATTCAATATTGTTAAAACATAATGTCATATTAGTTTTGCACATAGTTTATTGAATATGACGTCTATGATAATTTCCAGTTGAAAGTTCAACTACCAATTCATCAATTTATCCATCACTGGACTGAAACTTTTCATTTCAAATTACAAAGATTTTAAACTACACAGCTGTCTTACTCTTTACATACGTGTATACTCTTGTTTAATTTGTGTGTTGAATACAATAATATCATATTCAATGTTGAATAGTGGCGAGCAGGACAGTGAGATTAATCAGTTGTAGTACATACCATCAATGTAAGGATTTAAGTCACTACAAATCGGATCAAAAAGTATCATAATCACTTTAGATTTATTTTGTGACAGCTACATTTCACTACATGTCGAATACAGTTGCTTCATATCCAACTTTGATCAACTGAGGTGGTTGAGACATGTGTTACGTATGCACAACCACCACCTACCATGACAGACGATGTTTTATGGTGTAGGACTAGGCTTGATGAACGTTAGGGTTAGTCAAATCAAAAGATGACATCAGTTCGTGAAGTGACTGACAATTAGACTTAACCATGCTAATAGGTGTAGACTACCTGGTTGTGGTCAGTGTGATGATCGTAAGCGGTGGTTAGAGACTTTAAATGACATTGCTCAAAATCGTTTGGAATGACACAGATGCATCCATTTTTTGTTTTGCCCCGAATTTTTTCCGTTTTTATCTCACTAACTTACATTTACTTCTCGAATTGTATTTTCAGTGCGTAATCTTTCCTATTACGTGTAGTACTGTTACTACCTATGCTATTTTTCGATAGTCTTACGACTTGAACTCTGTGAACTTATGTGTTTTTCAACCACTGACTGAAGTAATTTGAATCTACTAATATAGTTTAGTCCAACAGTCGATGATTTCATAGATTGATGTCATGTTTTTGTTTCGTCACTTTAAGATTTCTTCCGAATTAATCATACTACAACTAACATTGTCTGTTCATCTAGGTGTTGACTAGGAACGCGTTACACCTGTACCAACCACTTCATTTACAAGTTTCGAACCTCACTAATTGATTAGTTATTTTTCATGCAACCTGCATCTAACCAGAGTATTGGTCACCTGATAGTCTCAGCATACTCGGTGAATACTTCAAAGACCCCTACGATCAAACTTTTCCAACCCATACATGCCTTGAACATCTTTAGATCATGTTTCATAACCACAGTGTGTAATACGTAGATAACTGTTGGATGGTTTACTCACTCTATATTCAGAGATCTGAAGAACAGTGACGATTTGATCTATTTTTTACTGTGTCCAGGTGTTAAACCAGCCTGACTTCCTCCAAGTTTGATGTTAACGAGCTGAATAGTAAAAATGTCGAAGTGAGATAGATTATTTTGATTATAGTACAAGACGATAGAATGCAAAAGTATGTATACATCTACATGGTTATTCAAGATCTAGACTGAAATAATGAGTAAATGTTTTGCCGTGATAGTGATCGATTCTAAATTATCTATCCCTTAACATCAACAATCGACTAAGGTTATTGTGTACATAAAATACTCCTCATTATCGGTTAATTTTGATTGTATTGCATCACTTATTATCACTTTGTACAATAAAATTCATTGGTATCTACAATGAAAGCTTTACAATTAATGAGGAGTCCCACAAATAAGACGAAACGACCGTCCATTGCTTCCAGGTTTCCCATGGGTAGTCTAGCTTCAATTGACTCATGATTTCAACCAATTGAAATTAATGAATTTGTCCAATTTAGTGAATGTAATCTATTCATTGAACAACATTCTATGTGTTTGTTGTAACGGGTGGACTGCAGGTTAGATGGAGCAGCGTATTTATCGATCGAATCAGTGAGACGTAAACACGTAAGGACGACCTAGAGTCCCAATTGGTCCTGCTTCGCTGTCTAGCCCAGGCATTTGAGTCCTGAACGCAAGTCACAGCCTCTGAGATATGAATCGTTATATTTCAAACATACTCTGTTTATACACCAACCAAACAGACCACATCGTACCATAAAAATAGAAAACAACATCTGTACAATATTTAACGAGTGAAATAAATAATGGCCAATAGGGAATGCCCATTTAGAGTCCAAGGACATCATTAGACTTAACATGATAATGATTGCCACATTATTCTGTATCCATAACAGTATTCCTATAAACTTGTCTCTATCACACATTTCATAAATCAATGTTTACATAGAATGTTTTTTTTAAAAAAAAATTCTTCAACTCTTTCCAGATACATTATTCTCCAGATTTCAAATATATGAGAGATGGTAATTTAACATTTCACATTCTAACCATTAATTTAACTAGTTTGACCATATTCTTAATACAGTAATCATAACTTTTTTTGTTGCTTGACTAATTCACAACTTAAACTCTATTGTTTTCCTGTGTGTGTGCGTGTGTGTGTGTGTGTGCACCGTTGGTGTTACCCAAATTTAGAGTAAATCATCTTATTCTCTTTTTCTCATTCTTTCTCTCCTTCTCCTCCTCTTCCTCTCTCTTGAATTAACTACTTTTATGAATTTGGTGTTCATCTTGTTATGCTAATGAGGTATGGTAACTTGGACCGATGCATATATGTGCGTGATCCTACGTTGTAGCTGATTGACTGGCCTCCTCTCTCTCTCTCTCTCTCACTCTTATTCAAATGATTCGTATCTGTATATTAGTGGGAGGTTGTATCTGTTATTTCAACATACTTCGGTTTTTTGTTATTTAATCAGAATAGTATTGAAACTATTAACAAAGTAGTGGTCGTTGTGTTGATTTGTGTGTGTGTGTGTGTTTTTGTGTATGTAACAAACATCGAGTATACTTTGATCTAAACAATATGTTGTCACACTGTTAAAATACACCGAAATGTCTTTCTCGACTAGTATTTCTCTGTAGTGTTCGATTTTGTTTGACTTACACTAGTTTTCTCAAATGAGATAGTGTTTCTTATCCGAAATGATATCAGTAATGTTTCTTTCAAGATTGAAGATAACTGCACTCTGTGATAAATGTTAGTCAGCATTTAATCACATTTGAAATTAAACAAATTGTAAGAGGATATTAATTCATTAATTGAACTGCAATTTACATGCAACAACACTGCTGCGGAGTCCCACAATAGGACATAACGGCCGTCCAGTGCTTCCAGGTTTTCATTGGTGGTCAGTTCATGGTCTCAATCAAAAACTTAACAATCTCCACAACCCTTAAACTAATAACTTATGAAAGCTTTGATTAGTTTGTGTTTCTGATTACGTAATCATTCGCATTAGATGTAATGGTTTAAACAAAAGTTGATATTTAAATGTATGCTGTTTCACCTTTCTCTTAGAAATTATCTAGTTGAATAATTTTATCTTTTCAACTTATGAATAATTAGTGTCTATGATCAATCTTTTTACCCACAAATTGTTGTTTACCTATGATGTTATTTATAATCGATCCATTTTATTTATTTATTTATTTGATCACATAAATACTGGTACAATGGGGTACCGAATACATATGCCCACACAAATCGAATGATTTGTGTGAGGGCTCGGGTACTGTCCGGGCACCTAAACCGAAGCAGGTGGTTTTTTTTGGGGGGGCCACACTCAGAGCCTTTGTCCTAAAGGTCTGATCCACAAGGCAGTAGAGCAACATCAGGAGATGCATTCCAATGGCAGCCGATGACCGACGATTAGTTCATACGCTCTTTATTCCCTCAGGATACTGGATCCCATGTGGACCATTGGTTTGGAATCAGGGTTTTCCAACTCCCCTAGTTGGACTCTCGGTGTCTACCAACCCGGTTAAACCGCCGAACATTCGCTTTTCGTCTTCTCAATTTCGTAAACAACACCCGTGGTGCGACAAGGCAGTGAGTAGGACCTCCCTGGCAGTGGCTGTATGCACGTGGCTACTTGAGAGCATTTGGAGATAGAGAGCTGACTCTCCCCACTCTCGGCCGTACCAGAGCATTTGGGTATCTTATGAACTATCAAAGTTTATAATTTATCTTTTGACTAAGATAACTTTCAGTATATATAAAAAGATACGGTGTTTTATAAGAATTCTCATTGATTACTGTCGAAGTTAATAATATTACATCACACATTACCTATAACTATACGATTATTCAATACCATGCGGTTTCAATATCAACGAAACTTGCGGAAAATGCAAGTTTCCCAATTACAACACAGAAAACACTGACCCAGTCACACTTGATGGAGAAACTCTGGAACAGGCGTAAACTTACACCTACGTGGTCAGCATCATCGATGAACAAGGAGGATCGGATGCAGACGTAAATGCGAGGATTGGCAAAGTAACACCAGCATTCCTACACTTGAAGAACATATGAAATTCACCACTTTCATAAACTTAGTAATAAAATATGAAAACTAAATATTACGGGTCTATAGATTTTTTCCCCTGGAATAATATAGTCGTATTCTTCTATTTTGATTATTTGATTACATTACAATGTATGTTGGAAAGTAGTTTGTTTAAGTATTTTCCCTATCCCACTGACAATAATCGAAAAATTTATTCCATATTATAATATATGGTGAGATTTTCTTTCATTGAGTAAAACCTTCTTTATCGATTTTTTTATTATTTTCGCACAGTGACTATTGTTTGCATTGGTTGATCCTAACTTCTTTCGTTTCTATAATTAAAATTATTCACATGTGTATATGATTATAAAGACAAAAAACAATAACAGAACAGTTTCCATAATCATATTTTTATCAAGTTTTTCGTTATACTGTTTCCTTTATCCGTTAATGATTTGTCATGAATGATTCTATGTGTATCATGTCTTATAATCCAATGGCCCCCTTCCGCTTAAACTTGAACTGGCGTTGAAGTTATCTGCAAGCGTATTGAGATTTCAACAATTCAAAGAACATGAGAACATTAACAACATCCTTCTGAGTTAGTACATTTCTTGATCATTTCAACATAAGTAGTTAAAGTATAAATATATGTAAATATAGTGAGACAGTGATAGGATAGTTATTATTCAAAGGAAATATGTAATAAAAACACTTGCACAATTGAAATCCTGAGACTATCTAAGCTAGACCATTATTGAAAACCTGAAAGTACTGGACATCCATCTCGTCATAGTAATTCCAGGTTTTCAGTGGCTCGTAATTTCAATTATGAGGGTGAGACTATAGTTTATGGACGAGTTTTGAGCGAAGCTAAGGTGACCTTGAGAGTGTCTGCTTACTTACTAGGGCTAAATGAGGGTTATAAAGCAGTTCGAACAATAAGGATTATGATTTACAATTGATGATTAGGATTAGGAATTAGATTTAGGGTTTTCATCATGAACTGAAATCAGCTATCATACCAAGGCTCTATTTAGCCACATGGATGAATGAACTTTGCGCCAAAATCTAAGACTTGTTATCCTAGATCTGATCGGTTCGTCTATAAATTATAGTCTCGCCACTATGAGAGTACTACAATCTCCACAAATCCCCCGTACTAGACAATAAATAACTGGAATTGTTATCTGTTGACTGGAATAAATACTGTTCCATATTTTATTCTACTGTTTGAGATGATTGGTTTGTAAATATTTACGACAGTTCTGTAATATAAATATTTGAGGTTGAATCCCTTGATACTACTAATAGAATGTAGCTGTAAGGTAGTGGTTAGAGGTAGTCTACAAAACATCCTGCTTGTTTTTCGTTTGAGGCTATTTGGCACTCATCAGCGAGGTTTAACTGTAATCTTGGAGGGAGTGATCCTCTCTGACGGATTCGATCTCGTGTTACCGAACTTCACAGTCTAAGATTTTATCAATACCGACTTGCTTACTATTCAGTAATTAATCAGTTTTAATGGGATTTAGTCGGTCATAAATCACGCTATGTATGATCGATTGTTTTTGGTTGAATGGTCAGTATATTCTGTTTTCAATTATTTGACATCTTGATCAAGCCCTATTCAGTCCAAATGTAACTTGTTTTTCCAGTCAGTGTTAATATCACTACACTGTCATACCAAAAAGTGAAGCTCGTAATTGAGTTCCTAAAGTCTCCATTTAGTTATAAGTAAACTAGACTTTGACAATTCGCTGTCGCGTTTCAGCCATCTAATTTATTTATAACAATCAACCCAATGCTCAATTTATTCGAAATTATCAAATCAAACCTTGGTAATGACACCTACATATAATTCTGTTTATTCATAAATTTCTTCTCAATCGCCCTAGACTTTTATACTACACTGAATGAAATCAGTCAAGAGATTTTGTAAGAATTGGTGAAATTTTGTTCTCTGAGCAGGATAGAGAACAAAACTCCACCGAAATCATCCACCTGAGCTACAAATCTTCTCCATCATCTCAGAATTGGTTTTATATCTCGCCAAGTATCGTTCAAATAGGTGACATAGATGACTTAGGAGCTCTTTTGTTCAAAGTTTAACGACCAACCCTGAGCATCCATGACTCTCTCTCTCTTTCTACATCAAATTTGGAACTTTAAGATCCCATAATGATCGAATAACTTCAATTGATCATTAAGTTGACATTTAATCTCTGCATGATTATTTATTTCTATCACAAATGATGACATGGCTAAATTCAGTAAATGACACGATTTTATATTACAACTTTTGACATTAATCCGAAATCTGTTTACTTACTACTGAACATGTATGGTGTCAATCAATTCGTGATAAAAAGAAATCAACTTTCAGAACTTTGAATTAGTGCATAGCATATTGTGTAGAAAAGAAAATCTTTTAATTTGACAAACATTCTAAATCATTCAATGATCAAATTAATTCCGATTATGGCAATCATTCCTGTTTCTATTACTGTATAATTCGCTTGTGTAACAGACATATCAAACCATTGAATAGGACTATATGATGATTTACCGCTACTAATAGTGACAATAATGTTCTATGATCAGAAGTAAAAATTCGTGACTGGTCAAATTCAAACCTGTTGGAAGTGAAAACAACTATCAACAATAAAATTAGATGATCTTTGTATTATATTCAGAATTGATTTAAGTTGAAATTGTATCATAGGACACTGATCCAGTAGTTTTCCCAATAGTGAACCATTCATCTGGAGATATGAATATCATGTATTCAGTCTCTGATGTAATTTTAAGTTTACACTACTGAAGTATCCATACTAAGACGACACAACTGTTCACGGTTTTCTGATTTTCATTGATAACCTAACCAATATCAATCAATGATGAAGACTACCTAGAGATTCACTTCTGTTTTTTTTTAAATACCAGTGTTATCTTACCATCATTTACTTTCATTCTCACGTTATTGTTGTTGGTTTTTATAGGTATGTTTAACATTAACCGCTAAACGTATGGCTAGTAAAAATTGTTTAGTGAAAAATTTAGAAGCTGTTGAAACACTTGGATCAACAAGTACCATTTGTTCAGATAAAACTGGTACATTAACACAAAATCGTATGACTATAGCCCATATGTGGTTTGACAATAAAATATTTGATGCTGATACTACAGATGACCAGTCAGGTAGGATAGTACATGTTTTTTCTTTTGCACTATAATTTTATGGCTATTTCGCTTGACTTTGTTATTAAATCTATCATTTATTTTGTATTGTAAAAGATTAGACTTTGACGTTGTTAATATTGTTGGATTGTAATTGATCAGTTTGTACTGTGATGTATTAGCACCCTGAGCGGATTGCTTTGGTTACATGTTTTAGTGGTTAAATCTGTAGATAGTATTGCAATACAGTACGCGGACTTTGTCTACTTTAGGACTCGTCAGCCCAAAGGAAACGCAATATCGAAATAGTATTCTTAAGATCGAGATGATCTCGCGTGCGATCCGAGGTAACAGGGTAATTTTCAACTTCCAGTTCCCCACATTGTGAAATATGATACTGACTAAAGTACCTGAAAGAGAACTGTGTTGAATGGTGATGAAAATCTAAGAGTATGACGTCCATACTCAAACCGGAACTACTTGAGGTCGGTCACATACATAAACATGCTTTAAAAGTCTTAGTCCCGGAGACAAGAACCAGTATGGTAAGGTGATGTGTGTCGTTTTTGAACTCGACATCTTCTAACCCGGTCTTTCCGTTGTAGGAAGTCAGCGTTGCTACGGATGCTGGTTATTCGGAGGAGATATGTTACTACCGTCACACCCAAGTACAACCAGCAGTATAATTTCGCCCTAGGACGTTAGACTTTTTCCTTCCATCTTCCATCATTTATGAAAATTCAGGTTTCATGTACTTTTCTAAAAACGTTTAGTTGCCACCTACGATGATGATTGTGAGAAATTTAATTCGAAACTATTCTTTTGATTTCGCTCTAAAACCACTCATCTGATTGATTTTCTGTGATATTTTGTCATTAATTTTGCTCTCTGGTAGTCAGATCAACGAGATAATCACCACTATTTAGCTGTTTTATATCATTCGAATCTCCAATATTTGTTTTAGAATATGAAATGGTAGAACCCAGGATCTCCAGGTCTCTCTGCTGGAGTCCAGCCATTAAAAATCTTGTGTTAAAACCATGTTGAAATAAGAATTCAGTACTTCCTGGTTCTCAACACTATTCAAACTGAGAATTAAAATGTGACGAATACATCCTACAAGTTAAACATATCTCTATAAACATACCTTTAACTAAGTATATTATTATTATGGTTATAATTACGTACTCTATCGATTTTCTCTTCATTATCCGTAAATCCTGATTTATTTTACTACATAAATGTTTGTAATACTTTCTTAGTTAAAATCACTAGGTGTTCTTTGTTATGCCACCACTAGAAACCTGGAAACACTGAAGGACCTTTTCGTCATATCGTGGGACTCCCCAGTTGTGCTCCTCCGCGACTACGCGAATGGGAACCGAACTCGGAACCTTCAATCTTGCGTACGAACGCTTAACCATTTGGGAAGTCCTATACCAAAACGAAATGGCCGTCCAGCGTTTTCAGGTTTTCAACGGTGATCTAGGTGACATTAGTTCATGATTTAAACTTTGTGAATCCGAAAATTCACACAAATCTTTCATTACTGATCAGATATTTACCAATTTTTATTTTTTTTTTTACTGTCTACCACTCTTAATGATTGTTGTAGTTGCCACTTACGATAAAAATTCACCAACTTGGATAGCATTAGCTCGTATTGGCATGTTGTGCAATCGTGCTGAATTTAAAGCAGGCGAAGAAAACAAACCAGTATTGAAACGTGAATGTAATGGAGATGCATCGGAATCAGCTTTGTTAAAATGTGTTGAATTATCATTTGGTGGTGTTACAGATTATCGTCGTAAAAATCCAAAAGTTGCTGAGATTCCATTCAATTCCACAAATAAATATCAGGTATAGTCTGTTAACTTATTGATTAATTGGTTTTCGGGTTCATCTTCATGAAAACAGCAATAAATTAAATTCTGTTAATTAGCAATTTTATTGTATTGTCCCCACTATATGACGGTAGAAAACGTAATGCACTAATTTTAAGTGTTGTGCAGAAATCAATGGATCTAGTTTTCCTGCTAGTTGGGATTCCATCAGTAAGGTTTACGTAGAATCTTGAGAGAATTGACGCTTTCAGTTGGATCTGAACCCTCGTCATCCATCTCCTTAGCCTAAGATTCTTAAAATCTCCAATGTTTAACATTTCAACTTAGTCAAATCACTTGTACTAGTGATTGATAGAGTTTGATTAGCACTCAAATATTAGATAAACATGACATCGGTCACTACTTGGTAATCAATCACTTGTTGAAAACATTGTCATTTAAATCTAGCAACAAGTAAATCACCGTGCTGTAACTCACTTACAAGTTACTATAGATCATGTTTTTTTAGAAGGGCTTGTTGTAGACCTCCGCTGCATACAGTATGGTAAAAGTAAGAGAGAGACTGATGTGTACGTTGCTGCTTTACTATTCACGTTACTCTACGTACTATGTGTAACATAACATTTCAACGTAAATATGGCTTGTAAATTTCTGCTTATTTTGCATATTCTAAATTATTACTATGGGAAGCTTGTACAGACTTGAGTTTCATAGTTTGGACCATATACTGATCTTAGTTAAACAATTTTGTGAATTGATTCTCAGTGTTCTCTTGTGAAACAGTGACCAGTGAACTCCAGTCATGTTGACTGAAGGGCAGTTAGTTGCCCGCCAATCTTATCGAAAGATAATTATGTAATATTACGGGTTAATTTAGGTTAAACACATAAGCTGTTAGATCCCACCTTAATAATCTAATGAGTAGGTAGATTCTGTGAGATCCGATTGTTCTGGGTCTCTAATTTCTAGTCAATTCTCGCCTATCATAACTTCTCAACACCACATAGCCATCCCCAATTCAAGCTAAGGACGTATAAATCACATTTGCTAGGTAACACAAATGAATCCATGGGTATTTTTGGTACGTAAACGCGGTTCAGTTAGAGAAGAACATTTGAGAATTCGTACAAGCAGAAGATTGAATCTGATTCCTGGTTGTAGGCTTGTGGGTTCGCACTGTTGAGGAGCCCCTTTACTAGATAGAACGAAATAGCCATCCAGTACTTTAATATCTGTCTAATTTTTACTAATCTGTGATTTAAGTTATTCAAAATTAACTTCACTTGATTATTTTCTCTATCTAGTTATCGATCCATGAAACCAATGATAGTGATGATCGTTACTTATTAGTTATGAAAGGTGCACCTGAACGTATACTTGATCGTTGTGGAACTATTTTAATTAATGGTAAAGAAGAAGTTATGGATGAATCAATGCGTGAAAATTTCAATAGTGCTTATTTAGAACTTGGTGGAATGGGTGAAAGAGTTCTAGGATTTTGTGATTATCGTCTACCATCGGATACTTATAAGAAGTAAAATGTTAAATATTTATTGTGGATTTTTTAAAAATCAATATAGGGTTTTTTGGAGATTATAGAATTTTCATAGAATATAAATCATGAACAGATCTTATTCATATCACTGTAGAAAACGTGAAAGCACTGGACAGTGCCCAAGATGCAGTGTCGTGAACATGCGCTTCTGAGGATTTCCATAGCAAGACAAAACGATCATCCAGTGCTTCCAGCTTTTCTTTAGTGATCTAAATAAGATTATTTGTCTATTTCGATGATATCTTACACTTGAAAATATATCAAGGCTGGTTTGGAATAGTACTGAAAACTTCTGTGGAATGATTAGGGAATAAAGTTAGACAGGAAATGTATATTTTACGGTGTTTGCTTTTCAGACGCTGAACGAGGAGTATGTTGTGAATCAGTCCTCTCTGTATAACTCAAGGCTGTGAAATATCGTCCTTGAAATTAAGTGGTATGCGTAGACTACATGTTTTTGATCATACGTATATTTTGAGCATTGCATCTGGCTAAGAAATGTTGAGATTGAACGTAAATCATTTAACCAAAGTATTTAGGATATATATTGCTTACGCACCACCTACATGAATATCCAATGTGTTGGCTGAAGTAATGGTCGACTGGAAGAAAGCTAAGGATGGCCAAACTAGAATAAATTATCAGTCCTAGAAATCATTGATTGTTCACTTGAGCCGTTTAGATATACGAAAACTACTTGGTTGGCTGAATTATACTTAATCAATGGGGACAAAGAAGTGTATTTTAATACAAAATTACAGAATTTCTTAGTAAAAGCTGAGAGCCATACAGCAAATACTTCATTTGCAAAATGTCAATCAATTGTCTTATACTTGATCGTTCTTTCATTTCCAAACCACCTACTATCCGTTCCCGTTTTCTTCTCTTCGATTTTCTCAACCTTCTGCCGCCAGGCATTTCGATACTACTTATTATTTGTCAACATCAGTAACACACATCACACTATCACGATTTCAACCTCGTTTCGAAAACTCATAATTTTGGAACTCTAGATAACGGACATATATATTAGGCTCTACACTGGTAATAACTGACTGACCAATCGATCAAAATCAATTTTCAAAACACAATTATCATCTTTGTTCCATTCAAAACAAGATATATTCTCTTTTTCTATAAGTAAAATAATTCTCTCCCATAAATTTCGATATACATCAAAATGTTTCTCTACTATTTATCTTGTTTTACTGAAGTTAATTTGGTTTTTTAAGTACTTACTGAATGATAAACTTGTTAATTATACCCAATATTCATATGATTTTCTATAGACACTATTAGTTCTGTTAATTGTTGCCCTCACTATTATCTTAATATATCTTATCGTTCTGTTATTTACCTTTTCAGAGGTTATGCTTTCAATGTAGATGAACCGAATTTTCCTTTAACCAATTTACGTTTTGTTGGTTTAATGTCTATGATTGATCCACCTCGTGCTGCAGTACCAGATGCAGTGGCTAAATGTCGTTCAGCTGGTATTAAAGTAATCATGGTCACTGGTGATCATCCAATCACAGCGAAAGCTATTGCTAAAGGTGTGGGGATAATTTCCGAAAGTTCTAAAACTGTCGAAGATATTGCCGCTGAACGAGGTATTCCAGTTCGTCAGGTAATATTGATAAGAAAAGTTCTTATCTTTTAAAATAACCAATAGATAATTAATATATAAAATAGATGGATAGTGATCAGCAGTGGAATCTGGAGCTCATGTTTCGTCCTATTTGAGACTTCGGTTGGATATACTTGCACCACAGTGTTGATGTAGGTATATCTATCTGACGAGTCCTAAATAGTGCGGAACAAGAATTCTGGATTCCATCACTAGCCACAATCCATCTGTTCAATATAATTTGTGATAAAACGGTTATACCCAAGCAATATGCACAGAAATGTACATATGCCAACCAAAACTGATCAAATTTCAGTTGAAATGTCATCAATAGAATTATTCAAACCATTAAAATTTAGATTAAATAATCAATTGTTTGTATACAACATGAATAGTTTTTTTTTAGCGTGGTCATACGTCTCTCTCACACCATTTATGCCTGTTATCCCTCGTGGAGAATAGGCCGCTCACCAAGATTTTCCACCAAACTCTGTCCTAGACTCTCCTTTCCAGTTGTTACCAATTGCTATTCATTCTTTGAATGTCTGTCTATGAATTTCAATCTTTTCTGCATGAATTCTTTATTTGTTAACATCGCAGGATTGCAAATGACAATTTGTTTTGTTCGTCCACTATAGAACGTTTGAAAATCATTCAGTAATGAATAGATAATTCATTCTTATCAATTTGGACATCCCGAGCCTCTGACCTACTTACTTACTTACGGCTGTTACTCCCAATGGAGCATATGCCGCCGACCAGCATTCTCCATCTTGAGTCTCACACAAAAGAATATATTCCATTGACTACAAAATCTATTCAACCACTGAGTAAAAATGGTATTTTAAGCAGTAAATTAATTTTCACAGATAGAAATCATGAGTCAGTTGGAGCTAGACCACCATTGAAAACCTGGAAGCACTGGACGGCCGTTTAGTCCTAGTATGGGACTCCTCAGCAGTGCGCATCCACGATCCCGCACCACGCGGGGCTCGAACCCAGGACCTACTGGCTTCGCGCGCGAGCACTTAACCACTAGACCACTGAGCCGGCATCCAACGGTGTTAATGTCTAAATTCAACTAATCCACGAAGTTGCGCCACCATATACCATTGTCTTCAGTGAGCTGATATCTCACAACAGACCTGGTTGTACTCCAGGTTTTCAATGGTGGTCTAGCTTCAACTGACTCATGATTTCTATCTGTGAAAATTTCTACAAATCTCCACAAACCCCTTCTGATAGTAAATTAATTATCAACAATCTAATACACTACTCAAAAATCACCCTTTCATTGCTAATACTATTAACCTGGCTTGTAATTTATTCCGTCCAGGCAATGGTTCTCTGTCGGAACTATTGAGTTAGTGAATTATACCGAGCCTCTATATGTTTGTTGTTCACTTATTCGAAAATTTGTTAAGTACATAATTTAAATGAGACAGCTTTTTTATAGAGATTATTTTAATCTGTAGAGGGTGTTCGTCACAGATTGATTTTAGCTGGGTTACCAATGAAAACGACTAGGTACTCTTGGATACAGCATTATTCACCTACCACCTTTCCAAAATTGGTTAAACCACCGTTACCAAAACCTGATAGTTTTGAATTCGATTACTGACAAAGTTATAAATATGCACTGCTGAGAATCAGTTCCATACAAGAACGTAACAATTCTTCAGTGCTTCCCATAAGTAAGATCAATTCATGATGATTATCTCATTGTTTATATAAATTAGTCACTTGGGTTGTTTTGTTTTTTTCACTTTTTACAATTCGTTCAATATACAAGTTAATTTATGTATGTATAGGTCAAGTTATTTCAGTTGAACGATCCTAATTTGTTTGTTTGTTTGTTTTTCATACTCCATTATCACTTTTTCTTCTTGTAATCCACGTTCATAATTACTTCTTGTGATGAATGCTTTTCTATTATTATCATCATTTATTATAGGTCAATCCACGTGATGCACAAGCATGTGTAATACATGGATCTGATTTACGTGAAATGACTCCAGCACAAATTGATGAAATTTTATTAAATCATTCAGAAATTGTATTTGCACGTACTAGTCCACAACAAAAATTAATTATAGTAGAAGGTTGTCAACGACAAGGTGCAATTGTTGCTGTAACCGGTGATGGTGTAAATGATAGTCCAGCTTTAAAACAAGCTGATATTGGTATGTATATGTGTGTATATATAGTTTTTTTTTCATTAGTAATGTTGTCGTTAGTTGAGATTATCTAGATGTGGATTAGGTAAATTTCTCGCTATCATATCATTTAATCTCTGTCATTAATAATTAGGACTCACAGTTGAATTCATGAATCGATCTAAAACCTTAAAGTACTTGACGGACATTACTTCCTAGTATGGGAATTCTCAATGTTGAATGTTTGAAATGTTTATCCAAGTGTTACTGACGTTAGCTTGAATGTATGGTTCCATTTGGAGATTGATAGTTAACTTCTCTATTGTCAACGATGAAATAGGCCAGTCAACATTTTTTTTTCGAATCTTCACAACAATTCGTAAGAAAAATTCATTTTCCATTACTATAGAGTTAGTCACAACGTAGAACATGGTACGTATGTACATCGGTCATAGTTGTTATATCCCATGAACACAAGAGATAAAGTTATTAGGCCGAATCCCAGGATTGTAAAGGTGGTAACAGTATCAACGGTATCAGAAATCATTTTGAGGAAATAGCCCTTATTGATTTCTTGAAGTTGTTAATTGGACAACAGATATAGTTTGATTTGAATGTAACAATTTTTTTCAGATCTAACATGATAAATTGTCATGTTTGTCGAAAATAACTCCAAATTATATCACTTTTCAATAACAATAATAATAGTAGTAATAATCATAAGGACATGCATCGTTTCATCCTATTTGAGACTATTTTGCTGTATGTACTTGCATCCCATAGCTGAAGTTCACTTTGAGATTCGAACACCAGTACTTTACACTTCAACTGACTTATTGAGCGTTGATTGTGGTAACCACTTAAGCACTGCTCTTCGAGTTTCTACTTATTTTCAATCTATTTGTATCTACAAAACTTCATATAGTCGTGTTTGGCTTTTGAAGTGAAGACGACTCAGTTCGAGTCTCTGTTTGTACGTCAACACTAGAATGCATGTACGTCGAACTGATAAGTCTTAAATATGATGAAACCTACTTTTTGAATTTCGCTGCTAGCCACACTAACCAACTTTAATAGATATCTCTCTGTATATTTTTTATTTCATCATCACCATATTTCTTTGGCCTAAATTGATATTATAAATATTGTATAATTTTCAAATGATGGAAAAGATTTTTAGCCTAGGAGGGTGTTCTTGTTGTTGTTGAGTTCTCAGAGCTATATGGTTTAATTGTGAAGTTTTCATTGTCGTTCTGAACAGCATCACCAGCGATCTCTTCATATAGATTTAGGCATTTAAGTCATTCCACGAGTCTTAAGTTAGTTTACCTTGGTGGTCTTGATTATAGTTGGTTATCCTCAAAGATTTCATTATCTTCAGTAGTCTTTGTGTTCACGTTGACTGTTCTGTTTTTTTACCTTTGAATTAGTAGGTTGGGTTTTAATTGACGTGCGTAGTGAACACTGGTTGATCTGAATACAACACTTTCTGAAAGTTGGCATTTTTAGAATCCCTACGATTTAGAATTTCGATATCTTCCTAGTGGAATCCATTTTTGTAGTTGTCTATATTTCATTGATATCAGTCAGTGATCTCTAAGATAAGATGTATTCCACATAAAACCTATCGTGATTTCCGAGATTAATTTTATGATGACTAGTTGAGTTGCCAGACAACATTTTGAAGAATTTTATATGATAGAAACTTTTTACAGATGACAAACAAGTTTCTTTCATGATAAGAAGGCTGTAGTATGTTGCTGAAAGTAATCATTCCTAAGATCTGGACCAACTTGACTATTCACTTATGTATAAATACTAAGTAATCATTGTGAAGGTCAGTTCCCTTTGTAAACATTTTAGCATATTGCTCTGTTAGTCCAATAGAAATTCTCAGTATAAGGTTGCGGTGATTGCTCAGTTTTAATTAAGATCATAAGTTGATCATTGTTAAACCACCATTTAAAACCTGGAACCACTGGATGACCGTTTCGTCCTAGTATGGGATTCCTCAGCAGTGCGCATTCACGACGAAACGGCCGTCCAGTGCTTCCAGGTTTTAAATGGTGATCTAATATTGATCGGTTCATGATCTCAATTATAAAAATATAAATTTGTTTAATTAATTATTTCACTCTTTCTCTCCTTATTATAATTTTTTTAATTTTCTTGTTTTTATTACACAAGGTGTTGCAATGGGTATAGCCGGTAGTGATGTGAGTAAACAAGCAGCGGATATGATTTTATTAGATGATAATTTTGCTTCAATTGTTACAGGAGTTGAAGAAGGTCGTATTATATTTGATAATTTGAAAAAATCCATCGCTTATACATTAACATCGAATATACCAGAGATTACACCATTTCTAGTTTATATTTTAGCTGATATTCCATTACCGTTGGGCACAATTACAATTCTATGCATTGATTTAGGTACTGATATGGTAAGTGTAATGTATTTCTTCAAAGAGCTATTCAACATTATTCCATTTAGCTGCATTTTATTAGACTAATATACAATAATTTATGATAGGATTTCGTTGAATATTTTGATTATATATCACTATAATAGTAATTATTGTTTACAGATTAAAGTAACTAAAGCGTACTGCATTATATGTCGGATGTTTGTTTATTTAAATGAGCAAGTATGCTTTCCTGTTTAGATACTTTATGTGGAGAATAATTAAATGTTTACTCACTTTTATAAGATATCGTCTTTTATATCACTCAACTGATTGTTGTAACCATATTTCTATCCACCATCAAGATAAACTTATTTTTTAATATCCATGGAAAAGATTAATGTCATGGCAACTCTATGTAATCGATTTAATAAACTAAATAGTATAACAGTATGTAATTATTACCTAATGTGAGAGAATAGTTTCTTCTTTCAGTAGATCCAGTAATTCTTGGAACCTGTTGTTGAGTGTTATCTTGAATTTGTCAGTATGTTGAAGGAAGGCTGTATTAAACCTTTGTAATGATGTTTCTCCACGAGTTCAGTGCTTCGTTAGCTTCAGTTTCATTTTGGTCACGATTAAGTAATGATCTGGAGCTATGTCAGCTCCTCTCCTGGTTCTCACCTCTTCCATTGACCTTGTAAATGTATAGTGATGCAAATATGATCTATCTGGTTCTCTGTAGTGTGGTCCGATGATAACCATGTAGCTTTGTGTATAAGTTTGTGTGGGAATATCGTGCCTCCTATAATCAATCCGTTGAATGCATATAGGTTTAAAAATTCCTCCTTATTCTCGTTTCTCTTTCCCAGTGCATGATATCTTCGTTTCCGGTATTGTTCATTCCTACATGAAGTTTAGATCTCCCATCAGAATAGTGAGGTCCTTTCTCGGGCACTTCTCTATGATTGATTGCAGCCTTTCATAGAAGTGATTCTTATTGTCATCGTTGCTATGATTAGTGGGTGCATAACTTTAGATAACATTCATCGTGATTCCCTCCTTCTTTGTTTTTGAATAATGCTTTGATGATCCTAGATTCGTGAGATTCACACCTTATAAGCGCATTTCGTGCTACTTTGGATAGCATTGAAGCAACTCCCTGAGTGTGTAGAGTATTTTGCCCTTCCAAACATGTATCTGGCATTCGCTGTCCAGATTGGATCCAATGGGTTTCATTAGTCTCTCACTTTAAATATATACCTCTTATTCGAAATAAACGAATTACTCTGTACTTAGTTACTCGAGGTCTCTTATAGCAAGCAGTATGTGCTGATAAGTCGTTGAGGTGATATCTACTTATATCTTTGTTGTGTATTCTGCAATCTAAGTTGGTTATAGACTGCCACTCTCCTCTACTCTTCAAAGTATCCTGCATACGCTTTGGTTTTTAACCGACTGAAACTTTTCTTTCCAACTGTTGACTGTAGCAACCTTCACGTGACGTCCCTCTACATACTACTTATAAGCAATTTTGTGAGTAGCATTCTATTCAGATTTAGTGTAATTGAACTATAAAAACTTTTTTTTCTAGTTCATTCCTTACACTAATCTCATGTTTAACATCTTTATACATTTTTATTTTACCATTTTATTCATATCCCATTTGTTGACATGTTAAATCAATATCCTGATGTAAAAGTACCATTTCACTGTCAAAATGAATTTACTATGATAAAATTTGCATTACTATTAATAATAATAGAAGGAATTAAAGTTTTTTTTTGATTTACTGATTCTTTGATATCACGAAAACAAGTGTCATAATGATTGTGTATGTTCTCCGCGTGCGCTCTCTCTCACTCTCACACACACACTCTCTCCATCTTTAAAATGTTAAGAGTTTATTGTTTGTTGGTGAAGTTTGTGAACAGGAAATCTCCCATTGTGAATTAGTACATCTATGTACATTATTATAACATACATTTAAGTTAACTTGTTATCGTCGATCTGAATACCGGAAAAATATTAAATTTTTCATTTTACTTACTACGTAGATTCACATTCCATTTGTTATCTTTCTTTAAGATATTGTTTTAAATATCGATCGTCGACAAATTTTTATCATTACATACACATCATCGCATACGCCATTTGTTTCCTTAGGATTTTGTTAGTTCATATTTTCCAACTTCCCTAGGAGGTGGATCCTCCGTATCCACCGTCTTAGTTCAAAGTGCCGGACATTAGTTTTTCGTCTGCTCGATTTCGTAATCTATCCATTTTATCTTGCGACTATGTTATCTCATTTCGTCGTTGTACTATAGTGACTTTTGATGTCCCACATACTAATTATAACTGACTAATATATCTTGTTTATTTATTCTATTCTAAGTGTATTTCAATCATTTGATGTTTATCTAGTTTATCTAGTATAATAATAAAGAGTAAACGAAATCTGAATAAATTCGAATTTTTCATGAATCAATAATGAATAACATACATTTTTAATTATGTTGTTTTCTCTCACCTTCAAAATGTTCAATGTCCTTCTAGACACAAATATCATCATCGTTTATCGAGAGTATAACTAAGCTGTTTAATTAATCTACATACATTAAATCAACCTGTCTCAATTATAGTCCCTGTGCTTGACTGTTTTCTAGACAATATTCAGCCAGTCAATCAGCTAAAAAGTAGGACCAGGAACATATTTACATCGTTCTAAGTTGCCATACCTCATTAGCACAAGATAAACACCAAATTCATAGAAGTAGTTAACTCAATGGTAGGAATATATAAAAGAAAGTATTCATATAACGATATAGTACGGGAAGAAAGAATCAGTAGCAGAATCATTAGCATAACAAAATGAACACCAAATTTACAGAACTAGTTACTTCAATGGTAGTAATGTATAAAAGAAAGAGTATGCATAAGGATTTAGTACAGGAAAAAAAGAATCAGTTTGTAGAAAGAAAGATACGAGACGATTTTTATCTCATATTGTAAAGGAAGACAGAGAGTGTATACATCTACGTCATTGTGATCGATTCTGAGCCATGGCACTCAGAGTCTCCAACCACTGGTTACGATAGTCACACGGACCTCAACACAAGTAGTCTGCATCTAGCGACATGGCTCAGACCAGAAGTTAGTGACTTTATGGACTGATGCCTTGTTTTGGTTTGGCTGCCCATAACTTTCTTCCAACCTTCCTCAACAATAGTCAGCATTGCACGTCGTGCTAATCGGTGTTCAGACATACGTAACACGCGGCCCAACCATTTCAATCGATGAAGATTCACATTGTCATTAACTGATTTACCATCATCATTCTCTAATACCCTTTGTCTAACTTCACTATTACTTACCCAGTGATCCCCGCAGATGCAAGCAATATTTTTAAGACATCTGTGGTCAAATACTAATAACTTACGAATATCTTCTACTCTTAATGGCCACGTTTCGCAACCGTAAAGTAGAACGGAACGAACTGCCGCACAGTATATTCGTCCCTTAATTGATTCAGTTTTTATTAGTTCTGTAAAGGTCAATTGAATCTTTCCATTGTTAATGTTAAAGACATCAATTGACTAGTTTCCTGCTATGTGGATCACCTTGTTAATCCCATATAGTTTTAATTGTTTTGTATCCAAGTCTAATAGTGGCTAACAGTGGAATTTAAGGTATACGTTTTGTCCCATTTAGGACTCATCAGAAAAGTGTGCTTCTATCACAGTAATGTTTACACTAAAACTCGAATTTCACATGTGTTTCCGGATTTGTTTGTTGGTTATTATTAGATTTTACCTTTAAAAAAACATTTACTTTTTCTTTTGATAAAAATGATCTATCATCTTATTGTAAGACGTGTTTTCGAGCCCCCCCAAAATCCTGGTACGACCGAGAGTGGGGAGCGTCAGCTCTCTTCCTCTAGAAATGCTTTGAAGTATCCGTATGCATACAACCACTGCCAGTGAAGTCCTACTCATTGCCTTTTCGCACAACTAGCGTTGTTTATGAAATTAAGAGTACGGAAAGTGAATGTCCGGCGCTTTTATCGTGTTGGTGGATATAGAGGATCCACCTAGAAGACTTGGACAACCTGATTGCAAAATAGTGGTTCTATGGGCTCCAGGATCCTAAGAAAACAAATGGCACATGAACCAATTGTTAATCACCGGCTACCATGGAACTGCATCTCCTAACGTTGCTCCACTGTCTTTTGGATTAGACCTAGAGGTTGAAGAGTCGGAGTGTGACCCTCTAAGAAGACCACCTGTTTCGGTTTGGGCACTCAGGTAATATTCCAACCCTCACATAAATCGAATGATTTATATGGCTCATATCTGTTTGGTGACTCCTTTTACTAATATTTATATTTTCAATTGTTAGGATCATGAGTCAGTTGAAGCTAGACCATCATGGAAAACCCGGATGCACTGAATGGCTGTTTCGTCCTATTGTGGGACTCCGCAGCAGCGCGCATCCACGACCTTGCACCCCGCGAGTTTTGAACCCAGGACCTACTGGTTTCGCGCGTGAGCACTTAATCCCTAGACTACTGCGCTGGCTGGCATCCAACGATGTTAATGTCTAACATCAACTAATCCACGAAATTGAGCAACACATCCACCATCGTCTTCATTGAGTTACTATCTCACAACACCTAGTTAAACTCTACTGGTCACTACTTCTCACTAGAACTCCAGGATATATCTCGTGAATCTAGTCACTAGTGAGCATATGTTGACCAATCTGATATTAATATTTGTATGTTTAATTAAATCAATCACTAAATAAGACGTGTATATTCGAGTATACAATTATTTGTATATTTGGCATAAACTTTTCTATGACCGATTTATCTTCTTCTTTTAATCATCATTCATAATAGTAAAATACCATGATAATAAAAACACTCATTATAAATCATTATCATAGTGGTTGTTGTTTGTGTTCATAATACTTTTCAGGTCATTAGTTCAAAATTCATGATTATGTTTATTGATCATGTATATCATTGTCACCAATATGATCATTTCATGCTTGTGTTACCTGGTTGAAAATTGTTCTTTTTTCTTTTTTTTTTTTTGGTTTCTTTCAACGATTATTTCTTTCTTTATGTTGTTTATTTGTTTTCTAGACAAATAAACTAGGTCGAAATTTACTTTATTTATAAGACACTTTTGATTGATATTATTGTCATACTTGATTATAGTTGAGAATAAATTAACAATAATGAATGGAATCATGCATTTCATGTGTTTCATATTGAATAATGAAATTGTATTGTATTATAAATAGGTCAGATTATATAGAATGAATAATACTGTTAAGTTAGATTCAAGGTTTCACGTATAAATTACTAAATAGACTGATGGTTTAATGAATCTTTTATCAATCTTCATCACAATACTTATGAGTGTATGAGGGTAGTTTGATAAAGAGCGACTAATTTAATACAAACTTATTGACTGTTAAATCAAGTTTTATGAGTAGGTACAGACTATTTGATTAGGTGTAAGTGTAATTAACTCTTCTCTCAATACCGGGAAAATTCTTCAACAGGGTATTGTTAAACAAAATGAAGGACTCCGTAGACGCCCAACTTTGAGACCAACAGGCAGGATTCCGTAAGGATAGATCGTGTACAGACCAAATCACAACTCTACGGATCATTGTGGAACAATCAATTGAATGGAATTCATCACTCTACATCAACTTCATTGATTACGAAAAAGCATTTGGAAGGATCTTCGATACTACGGCGTGCCTCAGAAGATAGTCACTAACATACAGAATTCATATGATGGATTACACTGCAAAATCGTGCATGGAGGACAGTTGACAAAGTCGTTCGAAGTAAAGACCGGTGTCAGGCAAGGTTGCTTACTCTCACTCTTTCTATTTCTCCTGATGACCGACTAGATCATGAGGACGTCAACATCTGAAGGGAAACGCAGGATACAGTGGACATCTAGGATGCAGCTGGACGATCTAGACTTCACAGATGACCTGTCTCTTCTATCGCACACGCAACAAAAAATTCAGAAGACAACCAGTGTAGCAGAAGCCTCAGCACCAGTAGGTCTCAACATACAACTGAGGAACATCTGGAACTCAAAACAACTGTCAACCAACACCAAGATCAGGATTTTCAATACAAAAGTCAAGACAGTTTTACTGTAGGGAGCAGAAATTCGGCGAACTACGAAAGCCATCATCCAGAAAATACAGGTGTTTATTAACAGTTGTCTACGCAAAGTACTTCGGATCCGTTGGCCGTACACTATTAACAACAACCTACTGTGGGAGACAACAAAGCAGATTCCAAAGGAGGAAGAAATCATGAAGAAGAGCTGGAAGTGGATAGGACATCAGCTATGATTCCAAAACTCTATTTAGACAAATGGATGAATGAATGTTGCGTCGAAATCCGAGATCTGTTATCTTAAATCTGATTGGTTCGTCCATAAATTATAGTCACGCCATAGTCGTAAACTTTTTTATTTCACAAATGAATTGTTTCTTGAATCTTTTAGCCTATTTTCAAGTTATTTATTCGGATAATTTTCATTTCACTATTTTAGATATGATGTGACAACTTGAACTGATTCACATAATTGTGTGCTAGATTCTACATTGCTCATAACTGAGTGATTGATAAATAAATGGTATATTTTATTCATTGTATGTTCAGCACTTATCAGTATTCTATTTCTTTTATTCTTTCATAGATTCCAGCAATTTCATTGGCTTATGAAGAGGCTGAGGCAGATATTATGAAACGTATGCCACGTGATCCATTACATGATAAATTAGTGAATGAACGTTTAATTTCAATGGCTTATGGTCAAATTGGAATGATACAAGCATCAGGTGGTTTCTTTGTTTATTTTGTTATTATGGCTGAAAATGGTTTTTGGCCATCACGTCTACTTGGTATACGACGTGAATGGGATTCCAAAGCTATTAACGATTTAGCAGATTCTTATGGACAAGAATGGGTAAATGGTTGTGTTTTTCTCTACTTTTTTTTTCTAAAAAAACAAGAAAGCTTAATTAAACTACAAAGAAAATCTAAGCGATTTGTGACTTATATTTTGATGTTGCGTCCTGATCGTATTGTTTGAGATTTTTCTTATTATTTGTATTAACTTCACATATTCAGTTAAACTTTGACCACATAGAGATTGACAAATACGGTCTATATCACAATATTTATTGACTGCAGAATTCCGAAATCTATCTCTTGAAAATAGTAAACGGTGACCACATGATCATAATCAGTATAGAGTTGTGGAGGTTGATTTCAATCGTGTCTAGTGTGAAGCAGTTACTTAGTGAAGGTAACAGGAGATGGTCTCAAGGTTTCGTGAATTGGTTTGAGTTTGACTTTAACACCTTTGGATGCCGATTCAACGGTCTAGAAGTCCTAGGTTCAATCTGTGGTGGCAGACATGTGGAACAGCACTACTGAGGAGTCTCATACTAGGAAAAAACGACCTTCCAGTGTTTTCAAATTTTCAGTGGTGTTTTATCATTGATCGGTTCATGATTGCCATAAAACTCAACAATCTCCATAACCCTATACTGAAGCTATCATGTTGTTCGTTAAGTTGACTCTTAGCTTTTAACATTCATTCTGTTTATTATAACTTATTACTTTTAAGACTACAACCTGAATTATTTAACATTTGGGAAATCATGTTAATTCTCAATAATTTTATCAAATGATGCTTGAATAACTGCATTGGTAATGTTTCACTTAGATTCATTACATGAAGTGTGTCAACTTAAAGCCAAGCATATATGTACCTGGTCCTACGTTGTAAATGACTGACTGACTTCACTTAGATTTTGAATCTTTCATAATGCCAGTTTGAATCTTATAAAGGACAATCATCTCCCTCAATATTGAATAAAGCCGAAACCAACAAATAAGACTTGTTTGTAATACGTAAAGATAAGTAATTCTATGAAGTATTCTTTTGTTTGTGAAGAAGCGTTTTGTATGCCCTTTCCCTTATTCAATATTATGTGATTTTATTCGAAATTACCTTTTTTCATTAGATTAATCAATTAATAAAAATGAATCCATGATCTTGTCCAACCCTTCATTCATTTTCTGATGATGATTGGATTCCATTGGTCATGGCTTCTCACTAGAACTTTATAAATTTCATTTTGAAGCTGGTCACTAATGAGCACATAATTATTATGGAGTTTGCAATATTTTCATAGTTGACTTTACAAGTTGATCTAAACTAAACCACTATTGAATACCTGGAAGCACTGTATAGTCGTTTTATCGTACACTGCACACTGCTTTGGAATCCATCCCCATACTAAGAAGAAATGAGCGTCTAGTGCTTTCACATTTTCATTAGTGATCTAGCTTAGATCAATCTTCACAAATCCCTATATTTGTATAAAATTTTTCTTCATTATTTATTCTTTTTTAATAGACATATAATCAACGTAAACGATTAGAATATACATGTCATACAGCATTTTTTGCATCAATTGTCATAGTACAATGGACTGATTTAATGATTTGTAAAACACGTCGTAATTCTATATTTCAACAAGGAATGTGGAATCATCATTTAACATTTGGTTTATTCTTTGAAACAACATTAGCTATTTTCTTATCTTATTGTCCTGGTTTAGACAAAGGTCTACGTATGATGCCAATGAGGTAAGTTAAATGAAGACTAAAGTAAAGTTTTTATTATTTATATGCTTCATTTCTCTTTCATCTATTTGGAGTTGTAATGTTGGGTGTAGTAGTAGTATTAGTAGTCTTGGAATTTAGAGTCAGTCAGTCAGTAACAACGTAGAACTTCGTACGTACGTACATCAGTTCGAGTTGCCACACCACATTAGCACAGAGATGCAGTTGTCGATTCAAATCCCGTAGTGGTAGAGGTAATAAGAGTATAAGCAGTAATCGGGAAGATTAGGGTTTGGAGATGTTATTTAAAGAGTATAGTCCAGTGAAATAAATTTGGAAAGAGGAAAAAAGGGACATGAAGGATTCAGAAGATTAGAATTTGAGAGAACACAGAGAGTGGATGCACCTGCGCCATCGCAAACGATTTTGAGCCATGTCATTCAGGGTCTCTAACCATCAGTTGCTATCATCTCGTGATCCCCAACCAGGTAGTCTACACCTACCAACATGACTCAGTCCACTTGTCAGTGACTTCATGGACTTGTGCCATGTTTTGGTTTGGCCGCCCCTAGCTTTCTTCCAATCTACTCCTATACCACTGAACATAGCACGTCGAGGCAGTCGGTCGTTGGGCATACGTAACACGTGGAATTTAGAAAGCGACTACGAAGTCAGTATCAAGTATTCCATCAATAAACTGAGTTCTGAGTTATAAAATATTTCAAATATGTACATTTAGAGAATATTAATAAAAATAATATCTTACTAACTCAACGGCTAAACAATTCCAGTTCTTCAAACCATCAATAGTGTTCAGTCAGTTATTATTGTCGACCTTATGGTTTCTAAGATTTAAATGATGAACTGATCTTAGCTAGACCATCATTGGGAACGTGGAAGAGCTGAATGGCCATTTCATCCTACTATGAGATTTCTGTTCAGTGTACATTCACAACCCTGCATCGTGGGATCGAACCGAAGACCTTTAGTCTCATGCCTTGATCATTGGAGTCCAGTCATGTCTAGTGTGAAACAGCAGGCGATGAATAAGGTTACACAAAATCAAGGATTGTCTGAAGTTAGACATTAATACCACTATATACTGGCCTAGTAATGTAGATGTTGGGCATTCATGCACGAGAACGAAGCTCGTGAGTTTGATTCCCGATCAAGGGATGTTGAATGCACACTGAACAGAAATCTCATAAACGGGCCAGACGGCCCTCCAGCACTTTCACGTTTACAATGATGGTCTAGCTAAAATCAGTTCGTGATTTAAACTTTGAGAATTCTACAATCTACACAAATTCCTCATACTTATATTATCATCATCATCAAGATCATTAACATTCAGCTGTCGATACAAACCAAGCGTTAATTATTCCGTTTATTATTTTCATTGTTATTATCAATAATTTTGCCGAACTTCATTCAAATATGAGGATGGATTTAGGACAACATCAACAACAGCGTCACAAATAACAGTCGAACTGGTCCAACTTCAGTACATTTACATTCATTAGTGTGATGAACACTGATAAGTCTTTTACTCAATGTTCACTATGTCAAGATATATTAGTGTAATGATGGATAAATATACTAACGGTTCTTTAATCTCTATCGTTGACAGTGTAGCAAATAGATATGCCAGCCTAAAGATCAGTTTCTTTTTTCCTGCGATATTTGAGGGTCTTTACTGTGGTCACTTCCTTAAATAATAATCTTATTAGGTAAGTTTTTGCATCTACTCGAAAGACTGAATATTATACGTATATTATTTGATGTTTGTTCAATTGTTCATCTCTTTGTATACGTTGATGATTTTTTCTTCTTAAACAAAATTTTCTCTTCCAGATTTACATGGTGGCTTCCAGGTCTACCATTCAGTTTTCTGATATTTGTCTATGATGAAGTGAGGAAATTCCTACTTCGACGGTTACCGCCTGGGTCATGGCTTGAAAAAGAAACATATTATTAGTTGTAGTTATAGTAAATCCCCTCCCCCTCTATTATATATGAGTAAATATAAATATTATATATATATGCATTCTTGTCATCTCTCTCTGTGTGTACTGCACATTTGTAGTTACAATTAATTGATTCTTTACTTCTTTCTATCTCACTGTTTTCACACATACACACACGCACTCGCATGATATCCTCTTGGAAATATTAGCATCTTCTGTATTGAAACTCTGGAATCCTGATATAAATTACTTGATACATTACGGAGTTTTGTGTTTTACATCACTCATGTACATGTGTGTGTGTTTGTGCTTATGCACTTGCTTGTGTATTATTATCTGTGCTGTTTTCTAGTGAATCACTTGATAATGATGATGTTTGCCCACATTCTATTTCCTTTTTTTTCACTTCATATTGTTCTCTTCTCTTTATTTGAATAAACAAAAAGGAAGATTTTCCATTCATTATATTACTTTGTTTCTAACTTTCTTTCTGAAATGGATCAATTTGTCAATGAGAAAACCATGTTCTTCCTTGTATTGTTCTTCTTATCATTACCATTTCATTGATCATCATTGTCGAGATAATCGTTACTGTAAGTTTCGCAAAGTAGAATTTAAACACAACACATATTACATAATCAGTAATATGATTATTAGCGAGAAATGCGCCTTATCTTACAGTGATTTCATTTATTTGTTGTTTATTTTCGAGGAGAATTGTTGTATTTTGACCGTCATCATCAATATTGTCATTACTGCTATATGGACACTACTTACTACTAGCTAATTAGTGATAATCAGTAGTGTAATAGGTGTGTATTATGATGTAGTATTTTAGTAGTAATGACAATTATCACATTTAGATAAATTTATTATTGTGTTATTTTGTTTGTTTGTTTGTTAGTTTTTTTTTCATCGAAATCTATCTGAAACAAAATGAAGTGAAGAGTTGTTCTTGCCTAGTCGTCGTCATACTCACACACACACACGTGTCACTTGCCCTCTCTCTGTCACTCACTTTGTTTCACCCTCTCCTTTTTTTTCTCTCGATTTTGTTCAATGGGAAATTGTTTCCAAAACCCCTCCTTCTCTATTGTTGTTTGTTTTTCTTGTATCGATCATGTTGATTTTGTACATTTCACATTGATTTGTTTGTTTGTTTTGTTTATTTCAGGTTTTTTCTATGAATAATAATTATGATTCTGTAGAAAATGGTGTGTGTTTTTTTGTAAACGTGTGAATTAGATTGAGTAAAAAGAGAGAAAAAAACTTAAAAAAAAAGGGAAGTAAATTGTTGTTAATTATTATCATTATTTGTCCTTGTTAATTGAACATTTATGAAAGATTGTGGTTAATTTTTCTTTTCTTTTTTCTTCTTTTTTACTCTATTCCATTAGTCTCTTTCAATTCGTTCGCCGGTTGTTTTTCTTTTTGTTGGCATGAGTGACTCTCTTCTCCTACTTGTTCGTATGTGTGTGTGTGTATGTGCATGTTTAGATATGTGGTAATCTGATGCTCATAGACTGTGGTGTGTTTTTGTTTTAATATAGATAATAGACTGATTGTTTGTGAACACGTCCCCTCTCTCTTTCTCTTGTTCACTCACACACACACACACACTCGTATGTTTATTGTGTATTCATTGTTCATTCATACTAATCAATCCAAAACCTAATTATTATCATTTATGATGAATAGAGTATATTAATGATTATTACAATGAAAATAGTGATATATGTGTGATCTTTTATATTATTAAACAGGATCATATTATATATTTGATTAATGTCATAGTACTACTACATTACACATATAGAAGTCATCAATTAGTAGATAATTCTATGAAGCTGTTGTTACTAATGTCCTTTGTTATTTTGTATTGTTTCCCTTTTCTCTCTCTCTCTCTCTCTTTCTATTTCTGCTTCTCTTTTTCAATGATTACACAATATAGACTAGTCAATTTGGTCTTGACCAACCAACATATTCTAATTCCATATTGATATCGTTTATTTTATTAACCAAATAATCTAAATAGTTAATGTTCATGGTAAAAACTTGTCGAATTTTGATTCATCCCATCTTATTTAATCTATTTTCTATGTTCTTATGCTTTAAAACAAGAATCATAGACCAAGATAGATCCATCCTCTTTATGTTTAGATTCCCCCTATAAAACTAGATCTTTATAGTGTGTGTGTGTGTGTGTGTATAAGTGATTTAGATATTTTGTCTTTTCTTCTTTACTTTCACATATACAAATGGATAAGAACAAATTTGTGGAATTTTTCTTTCTTTCTTTTTCATTTCCATGATAAACTTCAATATTACATATATAGTGTATTTGTTATGTAACTCAAACAAATAAAATTCTGTTCCCGCCTTTTTTTTCTTTTAAAGAATAAAATCAATAGTTTTGAACACTGCTCTAATTGATTGATTGATTGATTCATTGATTGTTTTTCTTTGACTATTTCCAGTTGTTGTTGTTGTTCATATATATTGGTATTATTGTTACTGATAGTTTGTTCCTTGTTTCATCTATTCTCCCCCCCCCCTCGCCCTATATTCAATTCATCTAATTTGAAATGACGTAATCCTTTTTTTTATCATAGAAGTACTAATATTAATATTACACAAAGAAATAATATTAATTGGTAGCCATAATAGTAACATATATGTGTATACATATGTGTGTGTGCGTAACAGAGGCTAACATACACACATACATATATATATATATATATATATATATATATATATATATATATATATATATATATATATATATATATACACGGGACGAGAATTTACTGATCGTCCTCTTTGCTGCACCCGTAATCATTCGTCAGTTTTGTTTTCTCTTTCTTTTTATAAAAAGAAAAGAACCAATTTATCATTCTCTCTCACTCACTAACTCTGTTCTCATTTCTCATTACACATGATATTTGTTTCTTCTTGATTTATCCAATTGAGTTTATTTGTAGGAGTCTCAATAAATTGAATATACAATAATTGACTTTCCTTTATTATAATCATTGATATTGATTGTATTGTATTGTATATTAGTGGTAATGGTAGTTTTGAGATGATGGATAGTTCGAATTGAAGAACTCTAAGCCAATACAGAATACCTAGGTGAGAATAATATTGGATCTACTTTGACTGAAATAAATTAAGATAAGTGACAATGTCGACATATAATTTTCGTGTAGGATTAAGTTGAAAGAAAGCGATTAATACAAGTCATGATATCAGTCCATGTTGACATTGATCGTTACACTGAGCCGTATTGCTATGGACAGGTTATCTGATTGAGATCTGCATGATTATATTGACCAATGGTTGGAGAATTGGAGCGACAACATATCTCATAAACGTTCACAATGATTTAGTTGGATTCATTCCTTGAAATTTCAAAATCATCTTATACTTTGTGCTTTGTGAATTCACTCTTCTCGAACCATATTCCCTTAACCTAATACTGTTATCATACTACTCCGAAATTTCGTTATGTTGATGCGATCTGAGGACTAGAAGCGAAGCATATAGTAAATGACAGGTTCTACGTTGCAGTATTCTAGTCCTTACACAAATCGAATGAAATGTGACGCATATATATCTAGTGCCTTCTTGTACCAATGTTTATATGCTTAAATAAATAAATGAAACTTTGCAGATTACTGATTTACCTTTGAGATAGTTGTGTGATACCATATTCGATCTGCCGCTAATGATAATTATTTTCCAACAGTATACAACTTGATAAGTACTTGTATTGTTGTTGGATCACATTGAGATTAAGTCGACAAGACGATACCCAAAGAACTCGAAGTTATAATGGCGTCCAGAATCAACAGAGCAAACGAATACATATGTATCTCCTACTATTCCATAACTATGTTCTATTTCCTTTGATCGCTATAAGATCAGAAGGAAAGATATGCTTCATAGTTTTAGTCTAGATGTACAGGAACATTACAAACGAAATGCTGGGGAGCTTGTCCTTAGAGTTTCATGTTAAAGTAAACAACCATCTTTTATTTCTGGAATTTCGTATCAGTGATGAGTACTTTATATTTGGAATCAGCATACTGAACTTGGTCATTCACTAATGAAATGTAACGTTATCCACACTTTACTTATCTGGAGATTCGGTAGAAACGTTTTCCTGTCGTGATATAGGCATAATTTTATTATTCAAAACAGAACAATCATTCCTGGAATCGGTTAATTGGAGTGGTGATAACTCATATGTATAGGTACACCCATTTGTTCCAATTTATATAGGATTTAGTCGTAGCAGGCAATTTTAATTCTAAAGTGATTAGATTAAGTAAACAAATACTAGAATTGATCTTTCAGTGTTCCAGCTTAGAAAAATAATAATGATGACCATTTGCTACAATTATGTTCCTATAATTTTTTACACATAGCAATTGTCAACCTTGAACATTGTTGAATAGGCTGAATTCAACGGTGACTAGGCAATGAACACAAACAGATCATATTAGTCATTGTTCAAGAATTTCACTAGATAACATTATTCTATTCTGGAGCACATATCTGAACCTTCATGATTAGCACCTGTAATTTATTCACAAATGTTTAGCATTATTATTACAGTAGGTTGATGGAAATTCTTCAATTATAGTTTACACTAGAGAAATGACTATTTAAAGAATTACTGAAAATACCCGAAGCTGTGAACAGGCTTTAGTTACTTTTCAAAAGTAATGAGATGTCAAATCAATAGTCTAAAGTTGGAAATTAGTATGGGGGATGTTGCAGATTATTGGATATTTTAGTTTAAATAGCCGAGTGATCTTAGGCAAGCTTTGGAAACCTGGAAGTATCGGACAGCTGCTTTGTTCTAGTATGTAACTGTTATGTAATGTTCAATAACGACTCCATGTGGGCTTGAACACCCAAGTGTTTCTTATAAGGCCATCTGCAAAACCCTAAATGTCATGGGATCAAACGTTGATAACGTCATGGGTGTGCACTCTTGAGGAGTCATATACTAAGACACGATATCCATTACCGCATGGAATTCACATACCTGAAATTACTCCGTATTTTAAACAAGTCTTCTATGCGCAAGAGTTTAAAGAGATTTAAAATAATAAACAGTCAAAAAAGTGGATTAAGGGAATCAATAAATTGAGATACTGATATCACTCTGACCAAAAAGTATTCCCTTGTTTCTCATAGCAACATCATTCTTATTGAATACTATCCTATTATTTATTTCCCTTACTCTGCTCACATTTCTCATTCATTATATAGCAATCTGCCTAACTTCAAGCTATTTTGTCCCTAGACATTTTTTTTTTTACAAAATTGTCATTATTTTACTTTGCTCCCCCCCTTTAAATTGTTTTTTATTACCACATAACGTGTTTGTCAATGTGTTTTACCCTTCAAATGTTTCCTTTTATGTTTTTTCTTATTGCGTTTTTAGAATTGTTTTCTCTAATTAAAACTATTGAAATAAGTAGTATATATCATTGCCTATTACTTGAAAATGAGCGGAACTTTAAATACATAAAATAAGAAAGAAAACTGATTATTTTGAAATTTCAATAGTTGAATTTACAAGTCGATTTAAGCTAGACCGTCATTGAAAACCTGGAAGCAAAGGACGGCCGTTTCCTCCTGGTATGGGAATCCTCAGTAGTTGGATGTAAACACCGTTGATTACCAACTCACTGGTCTAGAAGTTCGGCGTTCGTACGCGAGATCGAATATCCCGGGTTAGAGTCCCACCCTGTAGGATCATGATGAGCAATGCTGACGAGTCTTAATTGAATTCATTGAATTAAACATTTTCTACCTGGACCATAAAAATCAAAAGAATAGAGTTTTCTATAAACAACCTCCAATTTTCCAAGTTAATGAACGCGAATTTCTTCATAATCACTAGTCACATATCATTTTGTGAAACCTTTTTTTCTTGAATTTCTAGCTTAGTTACAACCTTTTGCTTTAATAGTTGAGATCATGAATTAATTGAAGCTAGAACACCATGGAAAACTTGGAAGCACTGGACGGCCATTTCGTCCTACTGTGAGACTCTTCAGCAGTGCGCATCCGCGATCTCACCTCGCGAGATTCGAACCCAGGACCTATCGGCCTTTTATTTGTCTACACTTGTCAGATCTAGATATTTTAATAGAAAATATTTCATTATCGTCCTTAACAGAATCAGCGTTCATTTAAGATGGAAGTGAGTTATTTGTTTAATTCACAAGGCCTATATAAGTCAATATATTCTGATGAAATTTCTTGTGAATGATTGTCTTCGAGTTTTTGTGAATTTTGGGGATATTATAGTAATTTTAATAGTTGAATCCATGAGTTGATTTAAACTAGATCACCGTGGAAAACCTGTAAGCAATGGATAGCCGCGCGTTCTATCCTATTTGGGACTCGTCAGTTGAATGTACCTGCATCCCAGATGTGATATCCAGGAACTCGAACCCAGAGACTTCACTTTGTTACAAAAATGATGTATTTTAATGAAGAGAAGACTGGAGTACTGTTAGGCCTGTTACTACGTCAAGCCCACGCAAGTTATTCTAGCCTTTGGAAAAACCAAATTATCCATTCTTCTCAAGGTACCTTTAGACCTTGTCACTTACTGGTTTATCAACCTTGACTGTTTCTATATCAGTGTGTGTGTGCATTTCTTACCTGACTCATCACATGTCCGTGATTTATTTTTTTAACTATAAATATCGATTCACCATTGGTTAAATCTAGTTGGCTCACTAGCCTTCTCCACTGCACATCATTTTGTTTCGCTTCTCTCTCTCCTCCACCTCTTTTTCACCGACCGTCTGATTGTCTGTTCGGATCAATCAGTGCATGAAATACACTTATTCAACAATCTATTCTTGTATTTGACTTATTTTAATTCCGTTACACACTAATGCAATTTAAGTTGATGATTAAATACGAAGGTAGTCAGAATGTATACATGTCAACAGTAATCATTCAATAACGATTATTTATCCAATCTCCATGAAGCTAGATCTCGGGTAACTAAAATTACTTGCTTACTCATACCTGTTACTCCCCATGAAACATAAGCTGCGACCAGCATTCTCCAACACACTCTGTCCTGGGACTTCATTTCCAGGTTCTATCCAATTTTTGTTCATTCTTCTCATATCTATCTCCATCTCTCAGCGTAATGTGTCCTTTGTTCTTCCTCTTTTCATTGGGCCTTCAGGATTTCACGTGATGAGAGATTGCCTTGTGACTCAGTTGGGTGGTTTCCTCAATGTGTGTCCTATCCACTTCCAGCTCTTCTTCTTGATTTCTTCCTCCACTAGAATTTGGTTTGTTGTCTCCCACATTAGGTTGTTACTGATAGTGTCTGGCCTACGGATCACTAAAATACTTTAAATTTATATCATAATAAAACAATATTCATATAGTTTTAAACGGATAATACACACACACACACACAAACATAATTATATTGGGTAATATAGGAGTAATTCTGTCCAGAAAGTGATCATTTTAGAACATACAACCGAAAATTTAGTCATTCAACATTGAATATGATGATTTCAACAATCTTGATAGACACACATATATACACACTTGATTGGTCTTGTTATAATAGTAATGGTAATAGTAATAATAATTAGATTAGATTCAATCATGATGTACATTGTCATGAATGTATACAAACTACAAGTTGCCTACAGTTTTTAAACAATTCAGATGGATGCTAAGTGTTTTAGCCAATTTAATGACATAATAAGAATGAGATTTAATTGTCTATCAAGTTATAATGAAGATGATAATGATGATGATTGAATAAAATGTGAAATAATTATGCCAAATAAACAAAGTGTTTATGTATTTATGCCTTGTTGATATATCATGTGACAGATTAGCCAATTACAACATTGACTTATATGATATTGGCACTGTGCCAAAACCAATAATGCGTTAATCAGTATGAATAGTCTAGAGTTAACTCATAGTCTTGTCTAATTCAATCCAGAATACAAATCTCAACTTCCACTGTATGAATCATGTATTTCAGACATTTACAGTTTATATACAAACAAATCAAACCACATCATACCACAAAATGGAAAATGACAATTATATAAGAATAAGCCAAAAAGTGTCAGTAGTTGTGTGAGACTGTAACTAATCAATTGGATTAACTTCAGAATAATGAATTGACTTGGTATTGTTTTACTTGTATCTTCTCATCGTTATTTAGGACTGCAATTGATCAGTCTCTCTCTTGGTATATGTGCATCCTATAAGGATTGCCTTGATATAGCCTTACGTCACAAGCATTTTTAAAGCAAAGATAGATGATGGCTAGCAGTGAAATCCTATATGATCGATTTCGTTTTATTTCATTCAATATTGACAACTATATTTTAAAATGACTTTTGTGCAAGTCTCGACTAAAACATCTACACGT